AACCTTTTCACCTCTTTACACACTTCTTACCTTTCAATAATTTAATCATATCATAAGTTCCTATTTGTATTTTATGTCCCCCTCATTTTTTATTTTGTTGTTTTGTTCTTTAATGTCCAAAGGCTTTAATTGGCTCATAAAGTACCTGCTAGCTCTCAAGAGGCACAATGCCTACAAGCACAGGAAGCAAAGGAATTTGACTTTTAGATGATGCCAATCCTACAGGAGCACCTAAAAACCCTCTGTAGTATCTGTCTATGGTTGTTTGAAATCAATAACTGAAAATAGGTGAAGTACGAGACTTAGTCCCTTTTCTTACCAAAGTATGAGGATGCAGACAAAATTAGAAATGAGATATAAGGGTACATTCCTGATAATGTACCTCACTTTTGTTAAAGTTTACTGCAAAATATTACAAAACTCATAATAGTGCTAAGTTCCTAACAAAACAAGCAAATTAAATGGTTCTGGGTAACTGCTTTTCATAAAATAGAATCAAATTGTAATACAATATTGCGATAGTTAAAACTTCAATACAAATGGAATTGTAATATACAGTACAGTACATGTAATAATATCTCCGTTAGCCGGAATCCCTCAAACCCGGAACTCTCTGATAGCCAAAATTTAAATTTTCTCGGAAAATAGTTCCCAAAGCTGTAATTTTCCGAAACATTCAGGGCATTGGGAATGATTTTCCGAGTGGCACATTTTCCGAAAAATTCCAGGGAAGGGGGAATTTTGTTCTGGGATTGAGTAATGAAAATCATGCACATTCTCCAGAAACTCAGAGAAAATTTTTCCGGTAACCGGAAAATTCCTGGGATGGGGGATATTTTTCTGAGTTCGTAAGATGATGTAATGAGCAATTTCTGTAACTTCTGAGAACATTTTTGTATTACTCGGAATATTCCGGGGATGAGAGATTTTTTCCGGCTTTGAGAGAGTCGTCTCGGAACCCGGAAATCTCTCATTCCCAGAAGTGCTCTGCACCAATTGTTCCGGCTAACGGAGATATCACTGTAGTCTTAAGCCAGGTGTCACACGAGCGCTTTTATAAAATTAATTTGAAGCAAGAAAATACATGGTCAATATATGGTCAATCAGGTGGATTTTGCTCCATTACCTGCAGCAAGAAAAAACAAGTGAACGTTACCATGCAAATATATGGGAGACAGAACATCACAACAACAAGGCAAGATGAATGGAGACGATGCAGCAGCTATTCTTGGTAATCTTTTTATTATTAAAAAGAAACGAGAGAAATAAAAATAAAAAATTATTGTGGACTCGTGTGGCTGGCAAGGAGGAGGACTGAAAATGCTTATGATAAACTGGTTAGAGAGTTGAGCTAAGAGGACCCAGATACTATGTGTGTGGATTGTTAACGGCTGCACATGCTTGTGTTTTGTAAACAAACACACCAAATCAGCACCCAAATTATAAACTAAACATGTGTCTTTTATAAAACTATTAGTGCATATTATACATAATACAGGCAATCCCTGACTTACGACGGCGTTAGGGACCCAAATCCAGGTCGTAAATTGAATTGGTCGTAAGTCGAAAATGAGAAAATAATACAGTACTGTACATAGAAAATCTAAAATGGGTATCTCTTTTTCTTTTCAGCACCACAAAACTCTCACTTTTAAGCTTGCCAGCCATTTTAAAGGGAATTACAAACGAAAAAATTTTCAGTACAAAGCGCAATCACGAACGTCGGGACTCGAAAATACGTAATTAGACAAATTTTGGGTATGACTGAGGCGGTCGTATGTCCGGGTGGTCGTAAGTCGAGGAGTACTTGTACTGTAGTGTCATTAACCTATGTTATATACAGTACATGTATATGTAAATACTTGATATATAAGATTCATGTCAATAAATATAGCATTAGCCATGTTTTGACATGGGAATCTTGCTAGAAATAAAAAATTTATATACATGGTAAAATAAATCACGCCAAAAACATGATCGAATATCTGGAAATTTTTTTGAAATAACTTTGTCCTGAAATTGCTCATAAAAGTGCTCGTGTGTGACTGCGACTTTACAGGGATGGAGAAAAATAAGGTTCTAAGAAGCTGAAGAAACAGAAACATGTGAGGTTCCATGAAACAGAAATATAGGAAGAAACTAACCTGACCTGTTCCCCATCTAAACTTGTGAACCTCTCAAGACCAGCTTACATTTCATATTCTCTTATGATATGGTAAATGTGATTACAAATACAACTGTACAGTACATCAAAATGCTTCTAAATATATAATACTGTATTAATATCACTTATCTACCACTCTGTTTAGAATGTAGCTCAGTATATTATACCATACACAATGGAAAATCAGTTAACAGGACATTTATGGGACTCGGGATAAGTATCTATTTCAAAGGTGTTATTTTTAGTTAATATAGATGAATAAATCCTGTAGCGTAGGGAATTTATGACCATAAAAACATACTAGAACATTTTATCTCTTCAGCCACAACTGATAACTATATACTTTTTCACTTTCAAAATTGCCACACAGGGTATTGGACCATAAATATTTTTTTTTACTTTTATCCTCTTCACCACTGATTGGTCACGACTCTGTTACGCACTGTTGGCAAGTACTGGGCATGCACCGGCTCCTGAATGTACCTAAACCTGCTCCAGTGTTGGTCAAGGCTGGTCACACTCGGTGCCGCCACAACACTTTTTGGCATTGTTCCAAGAGTTCACAACTCTCACTCTGAAAAAGTTTGCCCTCACAGTTTTCTGGACCCGCGGCTTCTACAATCTTGAGCTGTGACCCCTTTTGGGACGAACGTTCGCCAGTAATCTTATCTATTTACATCCCACTACGGTATATACTGCTGTATGTATTGTCATACAGCAAGACAACTATTTTCACCTTCTATGCATCAGTCTAGCTTAAGATATTAAATAGTTCTGTATGAAAGCTTCAAGTTGCTACAGAAGTAATGGAAAAATCTAGATTATTTCATGGGTTTACTCGATAGTATCAACTCCAATAAATTGAGTGATATATATTAACACAAACACTGATATGTAAAGACTAATACAGTATAAGTACTGATGTAATAGAAGCAAGGAAAATGTATTAAACAAAAAATGTAATGGTGTACTCATGCACCTGGTAGTACCATCTTGCTAAACCAGGAGATTTCACACACAAGTACAGTACTGCATAGCAGTGTACAGATCATTCATTCCTAATGAGTTATAGATTTTTACAATGAAGGATATGTACCCTTAAGTCCTCTATTCACAGGCAATAAAAGAATTCAAAATAAATAAAATCCATCTCAAAAGAGGTGTGTAGGTTTAAGCCAGCAGAAGAGAAAGGGTGAACAATAAATGTTTGAAAAACATACGCTTCCACTTAAGAAACTTTATCCTACAGATAGTAGCTCAGAAAGAAGGACAGTTAATCCCCCATTACAGGTGACAGAACCATCATAATCACTGTTTAATGCCATTTTCCATGCTTGCATGAGTTAGCCATGATTACCTGATGGCATAGTGTCCAGGTTCCCATCAGGAATAATTGAAGCAAGCTTTATGGCTGTTTGGCCTTCCTATCAGAAACTCTCTTTTACAATGTGGGACTTCCAATAGTCCTCTTAGCTGACAAAACAAGGATGCTACTCCCTGAGGTAACTCAAAGATTACCAGTATATTGTCTATACAACTTTATCTGACAAAGGCTGTACTTGCCTTGGTTGACCCCAGCTGACCTGGAGTCCATATTACTACACATAACCAGAAGTGACTAAAGCATCGAGATGATAAAACATGGTACTCAATAAGCTAGCTGCCAAGTGGCAAAACTAGCTAACTCTGAAACTTCCTCAGTCATCTGCAGATTTGTTATCTCCCCCCCTATCCAGTAGTCATAGTCCCAGTCAGTGATGGCAGTAATCAAGTCTTGACTTTGATATACCACTCATCTAGCTAAGGGCTGCATTGTTACTTAAAACCAACATGTGACCTAGTAAGTACAGTAGTACATATACAACTCAAGAGCTGTCTGCAGTCCTGATTATTTAAACTATTGATGTTTAGGAGTGGAAAAAATGTTTGCAATAATGATTAACGAGTTATCCACATTAGCTAGTCAATATTTTTCTCCTTAAGACCCAGGCACTCTTATAAATTGCTATCCCCAGTACATAGAGGTCTGGTGGTGGGGGGGGTTGAGATTCTGAAATCTATGCTTATATGAATTTAGTCCAGCTCAAAATTATAATAAAGTTATAAATATAATTAAAAAGGGAAAATATCCAAACCCTTAGTTGAGCTAGTTGGCTAATTGGGACTATGTACAGTAGTCTTCTCACCACCTGGTCTGCAACTGAGCAACAGGAATTACCTAAGCTTAGAGGCATCAACATACTACCTGTATTTGCTGCCATAAAATTGATGTAAACATAAAACTTCCCAGGTTAGTAATGCCATGGAATATACGAGTATAATTGTCAGCACTTACACATGAAGCACCGGACTACCTCAACAATATAACCAGGAGGCCCAGATGTGAGGCCCCACAATGTAAGAGGTTAAAAGTAATTAATCATAAATTAATTGATTTTTTCACATTCACAAGTGTCTTATTTTTGAGGTTCCATTATAGAGTATTGTAAAGAACATTTGTTTCACAAGCAAAGGGTCCCAGGTTTGGTTCCTGGCCAAAGTGGATGACTGGGTTCCTTCCTCATACATTTACATTATCTGGTGTATTTGCTAATAATAAAAGAATCCTTCAATGGACGAACACCCTAACATGGGGCTGGGGTAGCCCACAAGCTGCTTCCTACTACTGTATTAGGGAATCCACACCTGCCAGGCCAACCCTACACCATAGCAAGAAAAGGCTCATACAGTATGTGAGAAAAAATTAAGAAAAAATCTTCAGATACTTTTATAAGGATTTGAAATACTGTACAGTAATTAAGCTTTGAAATTGTGAACAATGACATTTTAGACTTACTCGTTCATGTAAAGTCCTGCAGTGATTTTCTGGATTCACTTCATTTCTAAAGGACTGTGTTGGGGTGGCCAAATTCAACTCGTATATTATTTTGTCATCAATGGCCCGCATTGCTTGCAGTGTGTCCTGTCAAGAAATAAAGCAAATACATAAACATGTACAGTATTTTAATTTTTTTCTAAATATATTTTGGTTCAACTCTACAGCAGATAATAAAGGGTGAAAAAACCTGAAAAAATGTGTCACTTTTTTATTTGACTAACACTATCTTAGTCAATATGGTATAGGACTACTGTATATAAAATTTAATGCAACCTACTGTTTATAAATAACATACTGCATTAGGTTTATAATCCACATTAAATCATTATCTGCAAAATATTAAATTATCCAAAGAATGGGAAAAATAGGTATTGTAAAAGTACATATACCTGTACTGTACTAACTTCCATTGCATAAATGTCTAATATTAGCTACCCAAGAGCAACAAAAACTGCATGTAGTTGAAAGATCTCATAAAAGTAAATATAAAATCTTCTTATACGGTACAGTACCGTACAAGCTGGACTTATTTATACCAGAGGTTGAGTTTCTGAAAAAGGCAGGTACAGTCAACCAAAGATGCACCGACCCCACACTGGGTCTCGTACTCGCAATTTTACCTGGCAATACTTGTAAAGTAAGGCTGTATGTAATGGTGATTGGTGGATCTAGTTTTGGCTGTATCACTGTCAGGATACATATTAAACAAACCAAAGGTAACATTTTTATAATAATAAACTATTCATCTTTATTTAAAATCCTGAGAAGTTTCCAAGTGTTCATATATTTGCTTATGTAATGAAGAAAATCTTGTGTGAGAATCTTGTGGCAGCTGTGGTTGTAGTCGAGTTGCCAATTCGTTAATAATTTTTTTTCATTATTTAAGCAAATATATGAAAATTTGGAACTTCTCATGACCTTAAAAAACAATGAATAGTTTATTATAAAAGTGCTACCTTTGGTTTGTGTAATATTTATCCTACAACAATGATTCAATGATGAAATACAGTGTATAAGCTAAGACAATTAAAACAGTAAACAAATATACAAAGGAAGTATTAGATTAGATAAGAAAATGGATCTGTTCTGGCATTTTGAATGGGAAGCAAGCTATGGATATCCCTTGAAACCTAGGCTCATGTTGAACACTTTATCAGAGATTTTCATAGTGTTCATATTTCTCATTGCTTAATTGAAAAAACAAATTATCAAAAAGCTTCATTCAAAGTAAACCTGGATTTTTTCATGAGATTTCTTCTTCGGTGTTGCTACCAAGAAAAAAGTAAAGGGCTTCTGGATATACCCAAAATAAAATAAGATTTTATGCATCAACTAATGGGGTCATTCCATGAAAATGTCAACCTGAACCAAAACTGAAAATCCACCAACATTAATAACTTGTGTGTTCTGAAAGCTTAAGCAATGAACTATAAATCTGGAAAGACTAAGTCTCTAACACAGCTACAGAAACTGCTCTATATTAATCAAAATTGTCACATCATGCAGAAGAAGAAAATGACCTAAAATAGGTAATTTACCATCATCATTTGTGAGAGAAATGTCAAAGAAGAAAAGTGTCTTAGAATTGTTGAAATTACCTATTGCAAAGATAAAATTCCTAAGATTCCGTGTTGTCTGAAAGCAAAATAATACCAAATATTATACAGTATAATATCAACCCAGTAAATGGCAAGGTAATTTATGAGGAAACAGCTACCACCAAAAGTTGTTAGATTTTGTTCATTTTTTCCACTGATCTTCTTATCATTATAGTAAGTATTTTAAAAGAGACAACTTTTTATTTTAATTATAAGTATTTTTCTTTTAGTTTTTCTCTATCTACAATCATAATTCACCTGTAGTGGGCAGGGCATAAGGGATGACGGAAATTTGGGGGTAAAACACGACGAAGAAAATATTTATCGTAAATACTACTCTGAAAAATCGTCCAAGTCAGCGCATGTTGTCGTCTGCCCTGTTTGTTTACAACCAACCCACTCGGTCAGTGCATACTCTCATGTCCATAAAAAATGCAAAATTACACCAGGACGCTTCAACAAAATTACTTTCATTGATACCAGGTGTCAAAATAAATACTTTGTTTACTTTGGCAGGGAATCTGCAGTGCAGAGCCCGCAGCTAGGAAATTAAGTTAAGTGGCTCTATTTGGTTGGTTAGGTCAGGTTCTATAAGGTTCTAATTAAAGTTGCCGCTTTTAAAATACAGCACTCCTGAAAATAATAATAACCTGTGAAAAAATTAAGGAAATTCAATAACAATGTTGATTTTTTTTACTTGTTCAAGAGATAATAATCTTTTAATTCTACAAGCCCTGATAATAATTGGATAAAAATGGTGAACATGCATCCCAGAATGTTGCTAAAATTATGCAAGATCACCCATGAAATTCAATGGGAAATATATCTTTTTCCATTAATATTTTTTTAAATTAAGTATTGTTTGGGTTTAGTTTGCTGATCTTGCCCAGTGTTAAAGGAGTGTATATATCATTGCCGCCTGATTAAAAGGGACTGCAATATTTATCATAAAAATTAATGTGGAGTTTCTATTCAATGACACACAGTATGTGCGGATCATTATACTTTCAGCCGCGGTCCGACTAATTACCCAAATGTAGCCAAATATAGCCGCAATGAAGTCAAATAATGGTCCTACACGAATAAAACGGACTGCTAATCACTTCTCGATTAGTATTTGGTGTCAGAAAGTCACAAATAATTGGAAAACTTACTTTAATCTGAGTTAATAGATCGCGTGCATGTACCGACAGAGCGAGGAATTACCCAAATGTAGCCGCAATGAAGTCAAATGATGGTCGTACAAGCGTAATTCGGGCTGTGAATCACTTCTCAATTATTATTTGGTGTCATAGTCAAAAAAAATTGGAAAACTTAATTTAATCTGAGTTGTGTTAGGTTAGGTTAGGTTAGGTTAGGTACATGCACTTGATCTATTAACTCAGATTAAATCAAGTTTTCCAATTTTTTGTGACTTTCTGACACCAAATACTAGTCGAGAAGTGATTAGCAGTCCGATTTATTCATCTAGGACCCTTATTTGACTTCATTCCGGCTATATTTGGCTACATTTGGGTAATTAGTCGGACCCCTTTCAGCCGGCCTGTTGGCTAACCTAAAACCTGAACCTGTTCCGTCATCCTTCTTACAGCAGGGATAAGTACAAAATGATCCTTGATAAATTTCCAGATACTTCTTAATCCACTGAATATCTCAATGCTAATACTGAATCGCTTCAAGTAGTTATATTACCTCACAAGATCAAACCATATCGTCTGCTCAAGGTTATCAGCTAAGGCCAACTTAAAACTTGTTCAATCATTATTCAAGTGAACGCCAACTCCACTTTACCGTTCTCTAAGTATATTACCACCAACATAATGTATAACTACCCTTCTATCTATTATTGGCAGAATAATATTGAAACAATGTATAAGTAGTGTGGAGAAATGTGATAAATTACCGTAATATCCTCGCATGAGACTGGCGTGGTGGCGGCCATGTTACAACTTGTTCGGGTTAGTGGGTACAGATCACCGCCAGGTCCAGTGTCCCAAACCTTCTATCCCACTCAAGATATTAACATTAAGAGTGACGCTATTTCAGTGATTTTTTTTAATTCACATTTGAATTTATCTAATGTCTGATCAATATATATAAAAATCATAAATATATTGCACAGTGAATTTCATACAAATACCACATAAGGGTCATACAAATTAATATAAATTGTCGCACAATTAATCATGTTCACACTCTCACGGACAAAACTTCAATATGTTTTTATTTTTACCTTACTTACCCAATGACCATCCAATTAGAGGTAGATATCTCAAGGGATGGAGGCTAATGACCTTTAAATATTAAAGGATCGTCCTGGAAATAAGCATCTGACAGCTTAGTCGGCTGGCCAACCTTGGTCAAATCACCTTACTGTTTACCATTGTTATTTACCTGCACCAGGGGCAAATCCAAGGGACTTGAATATCCGGACCCATCTTTTCATCAGAAAATTCCAATACTTTTTCTTTAACGCAGTATTGTACTCAGGCTTTTTTTTGTATAGCAAAAAGTAATTGCTAATGATCTCGGAATATCTCGTTATATCAAGTTTACATGGCTTCAAAATGGCCTAATAATGCCAATAATATTGGTCAGATTTCAAAATTCCCCCCAGTTGGGTGGGCTCACTGTGTTCGGCTTGTTCGTCCACCCACAACTTCTTTTGACCTCACCCCCCCCCCCTTTTGATATTCATGGATCCACCCCTGAGCACTGTCTCGGCACAGAGGAAGTTGTACACAACACTCCCACGACCTACGTGCACTGTATATCTACAGTATCTAATTCATGCCGAACTGTATAACTGCAAGTTCATAAACATGTCTAACCAAATGTAAACCTGTATGCCAGTTTTACTGAATAATATTAATAATAATAATAATAATAATAATAATAATAATATTTATTATTATTATTATTATTATTATTATTATTATTATTATTATTATTATTATTATTATTATTATTATTATTATTATTATCATCCAATGAATCTCGCTATTACAAAACATGTTCGGATCACGTGAATATTAGGCACTCCAACTTACAGTATTTCGCCTGATTAAACACTAACGTTATCTAGAGTGGTTAGGTTAACGTAAAGTATTCAATCATCTGCTGAAATAAGCTAGGGTGCCTAATCTTCACGTGATCCACACATTAATTCATCTATGATATCATGTTTATTCACTATTAATTCATTTGCATATTCAGTAGTCTTGTACAGTCTTGTAATGGGAGCAACTGCGTAAATCTTTTTATTTTATGCCTGAGCTCCTTGTAGTTTCATGTTGCCAAATTGTCCGGTCGGAGGTGATGCAGGTTTTGCTGTACTTTAACCCTTTAGGGGGCAGGGATTCCACTCAGCTTAATAAAATCGTCTGGAGTTAGTCAGAATAAAATATCTAAAGGATGCTTTTTCCTCTAAGTGGTTAACTGCCCAAGGTTTAGCGCCTTCAAGATATCCCTTAAATATTTGAGTTTAGGGATGACGATTCTCACTAGCTGTACTGTGCGTATAAGTCGGCTCTCGGGTCTCCACATTTGTGATGGGTAACTGGTCTACAAAGTCAACTACTCTTCTCAATATTTGCTTATCCGTCTCTTCATCTGTTTCTTCCTCTTTCCTCTCTATTTTTTTAATAATGATATTGTTTTTGTGTCTGTTTATTTCAATTTGCTCTCTCAACTCACGAAAACTTTATTTTGTTCATGTGACCTCGTCCCCATCAGCAATTCCTCAGACATAGACCTTCGACAAAACCAAGGATTCATAGTCCTTGGACGAAACCACAATCTGCGGAGTACCTCCCAACCAGAGAGCGTAACCAGTGGGGGATTTCCTTGAGAGGAATCCTCCCCTCATGGCTGGCATTACCGAAAACCCTCCCTTCACTATACCTGAAGACTGTGCATCCGCTTTCGTATTATAAGGGCAGCGTCGATTAGCCCGATCATCCACGATTTAGTCTACAGCGAAAATTGGCGGCGTGTTTCCTTTTTTCCTTTTACTTTTATAGTAAAAGTAAATTAAAAGTCAATATTAGCCCGATCATCCACGATTTAGTCTACAGCGAAAATTGGCGGTATGTTTACTTGGTGTTCAAACCTTCGTCTGTCCATTCGTCTATTCATACGTCCTTCTGGCTATCCCTTCATTTGTTCCTTTGTCCGTGTGAGTTTTGCCCTGCTATTCATTTAATATATATTTTATAAAATAAATGAATAAATTATTAAGGCAACATAAATTACGTACCGCAGCAAATTAATTATCCATAACATCAACAGTATAATTCAGATCTATATAAAACAAAGAAGTCTGTCTGTCTGTGTCCGCACGAGAATCTCGGAAACTACTTTACGTACCGATCTGTAGTGATGATGGATCGTGTTATATGTAGTGATGATGGATGGTGTTATATGTAGTGATGATGGATGGTGTTATATGTAGTGATGATAGATGATGTTATATGTACTGTAGTGATGATGGGTGGTGTTATATGGAGTGATGATTAGACAATAAAATAATAACAGTTTAATGCTAAAAAATATGCTTTGCTGTACCGTTGTAGTGAAAAACATGGTGGAACTTACATACACCGTTAATGAACTATTGATGGAAGAAGAAGTTTTGGGGACTGAACAGTGAGACAATGTGGCCTAGCGAATGAGCGCGTTTCTGCTAGTTCAGAAATGAAAAGCAAAATCATCTGTAGTAACTCAATTATGTTAGGGAATTGTAGAAGAGATGTTTAGTCATTATTTCAGAATCGAGAAGAATACAGTACTGACTTTATCAACTTAAGGTACAGTATATCTGATGTTAATGACCCTGACCCGTTACTTGGTGATTAGTATTATGAAGTGTCACAAAGCGATCTGTACAGGCCGAGTGCATATGAAACTCATGAAGTCTTGAAGGATCTAGTATCTAAGTTGTCATAACCCAGCCTCCTTAGAGCTAAACCTTCACATCTAAGCTGTCGTAACCTAATACCCAAGGTAAACATCCCAGAAGTCACAGTGGCCATAACGTAACATCAGCTTTTACACAGAGCCTCGGGGCCGCCTCATGAATCCGATGTTCCCCATCAACTTTCGAAATGTTTATGAGTAGACACGGAAACAGATGACGTAGACACCACTCATCTGAACCACTGTAAGTCTCTCTCTCTCTTGCTCCGTCTAGCTATCGATCTTTCCCTCTCTGTATCTCACTCTATCTAAATTCGCCAGCAAGTGAGGGTCGTTGGTCAGGGGAACGTCAGCTGCCCAACACATTAAAGATAAACATTAGATTACTGCTGCCACTATCAACCCATCCAGGGGGCGTCACCAACTGCCCCGTCACCCTCGTTACTCACTACACCTGCCCCGTCACCCTCGTTACTCACTACACCTGCCCCGTCACCCTCGTTACTCACTACACCTGCCCCGTCACCCTCGTTACTCACTACACCTGCCTCGTCACTCAATACACCTACCAGACACTCTCGTTACTCACTTGTCCAGTCACTCTCGGTATACTCACTACACCTGCCTCGTCACTCACTACACCTACCCGACATTCTCGTTACTCACTTGTCCAGTCACTCTCGGTATACTCACTACACCTGCCTCGTCACTCACTACACCTACCCGACATTCTCGTTACTCACTTGCCCAGTCACTCTCGGTATACTCACTACACCTGCCTCGTCACTCATACACCTACCAGACACTCTCGTTACTCACTTGTACAGTCACTCTCGGTATACTCACTACACCTGCCTCGTCACTCACTACACCTACCCGACACTCTCGTTACTCACTTGTCCAGTCACTCTCGGTATACTCACTACACCTGCCTCGTCACTCACTACACCTACCCGACATTCTCGTTACTCACTTGCCCAGTCACTCTCGGTATACTCACTACACTATATATATATATATATATATATATATATATATATATATATATATATATATATATATATATATATATATATATATATATATATATAATACGATCTTGGCCTTCGATATTTTGACCATAAAAAAACATGATGGTTCCAAGAGTTGTTGCAGTGAACTATGCCTCTGTCCTTTGTGCTGCAGACATAACCAACTCATTTACATCAGCTGATATACCTTACACACAGCCATGCATAGATATAAACATACTTACGTAATTAGATACAAACGGCGGTGAGGGCCCCACCCACAGGACCCCGTTGGCCTAGCCCGAAGCAACACAGTGAATCAATAAAGTTTACATGAAAACAAGCTTATTCCTAGTGACGTTAACATTGTGATACTTAACTTATGTACAGTGATAGCTAGCCTTTCAATAACAACGATAAACAATGTCTCTTTAACAGGACAGAGCGAGTGTAATCTTGTAAGTAAACAAAAGTGCAATGTATACTTGTGGGACACTGTTCCTACACCTAGTGACACCCTGCACCCAGCCCTCACCACACGCAACCACTGTCTCACAACTTGTCAATAAAAAAGCGAGTCAATACTGTCACACACAAACAAGCAAGTGTATATTCAGTGAGACACAGTCACCCATATTTCCTCCTTCCCCTCCCAAACAATCATGCCTCACAGGTCTCACCCCTCCCTCCCACACGCCCTCTCACACATTCACACAACCTCTCTCACATCTGACACCTCACAGTCACGCATCCCACCCCCTTTCACACATCCCATCCCGCACACACACACACACATCCCATCCCGCACACACACACACACACACATCCCATCCCGCACACATTCACACATCCTATCCCACACATACTCACGCTTTCTGCACATACCTGTTCACACACACATGTATACCCTCACCTCCTCTGACACACACACACACACACACACACAGAGTCATTACCTAAGTGGTACAGCTGACTCAGAGCTGAAGTGTTCAAGATGTACAGTGTGTGGTGTGTGTGTGTGTGTGTGTGTGTGTGTGTGTGTGTGAGAGGTGGCAGAGAGGAAAAGGATGATAGAAGAAGAAGAGGGGATAGGAAGGGAAGTTTAAGTAGCAGGGCGGGTGAGGGATGGAGGTAGGGGGTCTCAGGTAGAATGATAATAGGGATGTATACGAGGTGGGCGTCAGGAGAATGTCTGGCACGAAGTAGAAAGCCGATGAAGCTTAGAATGTTGCGATCATTACTTTCTGTTCCTTACCCGCTCTCATCACCACTACCATTACCTGCATCACTACCACCACCATTACCTGCATCACCACCACCACCATTACCTGTATCACCACCACCACCATTACCTGCATCACCACCGCCACCATTACCTGCATCACCACCACCACCACCATTACCTGTATCACCACCACCACCATTACCATGCATCACCACCGCCACCATTACCTGCATCACCACCGCCACCATTACCTGCATCACCACCGCCACCATTTCCTGCATCACCACCGCCACCATTACCTGCATCACCACCGCCACCACCTGTACCACTCCCATGACCAACACTACCACCACCAAAGTTATAACTACCACCCCAACAAAAGCCACCACCACTTGTACCACACCCGCTCTTACTATCATAACCACCATCACCACCATTACCTGCATCACCACCGCCACCATTACCTGCATCACCACCACCAACATACCTGCATCACCACCACCAACACACCTACATCACCAACACGTTTACATCACCAATACACTTACATCTCCAACACACCTACCTCACCAACACGCCTGCCTCACCAACACACCTACATCTCCGACGCACCTACTTCACTAACACACCTACCTCACCAACACACCTACCTCACCAACACGCCTGCCTCACCAACACACCTACCTCACCAACACACCTACCTCACCAACACACCTACATCTCCGACGCACCTACTTCACTAACACACCTACCTCACCAACACACCTACCTCACCAACACATCTGCATCACCAACACTCACGCCCTCAGCAAAATAACTTCACAATTTAAGAGGAATGTTTAAAACTCTCAACTTACAGGTCACAATGTTCTTTACCTGTTATAAACAGACATGATATCACCAAGAGGAAGGTGTGGCGGTAGGTGCAGTCTAGATCCCAGTTCACAAAGGCTCTTACGATGAACATTCCTCGTAACTGAAGATGTAAAAATGCACTTTCCTGGTTGACTTAAGCCTAAACTAAAATACACCTTACAAAAAAATAGCAGAGACAACACTGAGAACAACTGTACCTTATAACTAAATACGCTCGCTTACCACTGCCAAACTACCGTAAATATTTTTTTTTCAGATTTTGTTCAATAATTTGACCACTAACTCATGCAGTATATTCATTTAATACAAATATTCATCTTACGATTCCCTGTGAATCAAAAATCTGGGTCGAGCAGTGCGAAGTCAGGTTAAGTGAGGTGGCCAGATTAACTTACTCATTGGGTACAGCAGCTCACCATGAAACAGAACACAAGGTCGACGAAGCCTTGCTGCAGGCAAGTACGATCATCCTCACATTCACCATCCACTGGTTCACAACTCAATTTATTGCCAGATATGTTTCTCACCAAGCTGTTGGGAAGTACTGTATCGTTATATGGGAAACTTTTTACAAGAAAACAGGTCTACACGAACAGTGTGTATACCGACCACGATCAGGATGACACCGCGGGTTTACTATAAGATTTTGTACTCGTATACTTGATGCTGGACAGCAAGTTTTCCATATCAGGTTCATTGAAACTACGAGCTACGGCATACAGAACATATTTGGAGATAAGAGTATATATCTTGAATATGAAAAAACTTGGGAAGAGGTACTATGCACAACTCTTTAAACAAACTTATGACAATTTAATTACGTTATCAATTAAGCTCCTGCCACTTTCAGTGCAGTCATAATTCATATCTGTTTTGTTCAATTCAACCTATATTACATTAAAAACCTCAGTGACAAAGGAATAAAATTTAAGTTTGCATGTTTTATACTGCGCAATGTAATTAGTAAAGCATAGTACAATATTTGTGATAAGTAGTTACCGGGTCGTAACAATTACTTTTGGAATAGCCTGCCAGAAAATGTTATGACGGCACCAACTATGAGCCCATCCAAGAACAAACTTACCAACACTGTGCCTGGTTCAGATACAGTGTACTAGTGTTCGGACCCAGCGGAGAGTAAGGAAAATAAATTAACGTAATCAATGATTTACTTTATCAAATTGTGTGGACAGAAACTTTGGATCACCTGTCACCTAAAGATTAATCCCACCGTATTTCACCTCACGATTAAACACCCAAACGCTACCTGGGGAGTTAGATTAGTTAGATTTACTAATAAGTTTGGTTAAGTTAGGTTAGGTTAGCTTTAGGGTAGTAAATCTAAGGGTGAAATAAGCTAGGGCTAATCTTTAAGTGATCCGAAATTTTCATAATAGATATATTATAATATACCTATCTATCGTACTACGTGTATAGTATAATTATGTGGTTCGTACTGTACGCGATTTAACACTGACAGAGGACAAACAAAAATTACATTCCGGTGAGCGAATGACTTGCGGCAATCTCATTATCATGAAAACCTAAGATTCCATTTATTAAGGAAACGTTAGAAAGTTTCGTCGGTTAATGATATAGGAGATGGACATTAAGAGACATTTGTTACTAGGGATACGTATTTTTATGCGCATGAACACCTGTCGGCGAGTAACCACTCCCACCGGGTGTACACATGAGCATTGTGAAACGCACGCACATAGTATGATAAACACACAGTACACAACAAGACACGCACACACATGCATAATTATGCAGCACACACACACACAGTAGTCATGTGTATAAAATAAAGCAGTATGCTTGAAGGGGCAAGTAAAAAAGGTGAAAAATGTAAGTACACACACACATACACGAACACTGCCCTAGCTGCAATAGCCAACACGTGACAATAATGCTGAAAGGCTCCAAAGCTCAAGTCTTCATGTTCCCGGACAAATCTGAAGTTCACAAAGTTTTATACAAGTTCCTAGTAACTGAAACAAGTCTGTCACTATATTCAGTCACCATTTATTAGATACAATTAATTAATTAATATCGCCAGGTTAAATAAATATATATATCAAACATCTATATATAACATTCGTCAACAATCAGTATAAAGAACAAATTACAATACAATATATATATATATATATATATATATATATATATATATATATATATATATATATATATATATATATATATATATAGCAGCTCTACATTATATTTCGTTGTTATAATGTTGTTTACGTCTATAGTAAAGAAATGCAGTTAATATTGAATGATATAAACATTACTGGACGGTATTAGCAACATTTTATTGACTTACATATCTTTATTCTCGAAGTATTTGACTTAGCATGGCAAGAAGACAGCAGGAAGCCGCCCCTCATGAATGGATCGCACAGGTGACGGCAAACCGGGAGTGACTCACCCCAGGCCAAATGACGTCATTCTTGATCCTTCCTCTCATAAGGATGAGACGAGTAAAGAAAAATAATGTTAACAGTCATACTTCATGTCCATCATATTCGCTGCAAGACGAATTTAAGTAAGCCATGTTGCGCAGTCAAAACTCATGTCACGAGACCAAAGATATTCTAGAGTCTATTTTGTGACGTTGCGAACTATGGGTGTTCTGCAAACAATAGATTTTCAAGTTTTCAGCGTATAATAATTTAATGATATCAGATATATAGTATTTATTAGTATATCTAATCTAAATATTTATTTAGCTCAGTGCTTTTGTTTTCTTTTTGTCTTTCCATACCAGATTCAGTCATTTATAGTATCTGTTGTATATCTGACATTATTGGAACGTAGTTTTGGTCATGACAACATGGCGCTCAATGGGGAAAGGTCAGCCCTCTCTGGGCTTTCCGACCTCCGAAAAGAAAAGGCAGAGGAAAAAGAGAACCTCTGGTAAGTTATTTAGTACTTGGGGATTACTTGTGGTAGTAGAAAGGAGCGCCACCCATAGTTAAGGGTAGTTTATCAGGCATGAACAAAGGTGGTGGGAGCGGTCTTGTTGACATGACATTCCAGCCGTTTTGAACATCTGATGTATTTACACATGAAGAACCTTGTCCATTAGAGTTATCAGAGTAGTTTCTTGTGTGAAAATAGATTTGTTCCCAAAACATTATCGTTTATAGTCATAATTTATTGATAAGGCCTGAGTGTTGGGGAGGTGAAGGACAGTTAAGTGAGGTAGGAGTATTCAGACAACTATAGGCTAACCCAAACAGGGACACACTCAATCCTGCCCACCTACATTAATGCCTTTGACACAGTGTATGTGCCCGAAAACACCTTGTAAACATATTAACGGTAGACCAATTTTCATGGGGTGTGGCGGCTGAGTGGATACAGTGTTTCCTGGGTCACTAGTTTGTCTATGTTCCTATAGTAATTCATGCCTTTGTAATCCGCATCACTTTTCATTTAGTAACTGATGATATTAGGAAATGTGGGTCTGGTTGGAGTGCATAGTGTCGTATTTCAAAAGCAGACTATATTAATTGACCTAGGATTATGAGGCCTTTTCAATGAGATGAATTGTGTTGTCTGCCAAACTAAATTGTGTGTCATGAAGATTTTATAATAAGAAGAACCGACAAATTGATATGCACTTGGGTAGGATTGGGTTGGTTCCATTTTTGCTATTGTATGTTGAAGGCTTGTTAAGTAGAAAGAAAGTTGGTGCAACAAATGTATGATATTTTATAAGTGTAAGTAAAGGACTTAAAACTTTGAGGTATGAGTGGGACTGAGGTAGGGATGTGTGATGGCATTGGTTTTTCAACTTAGTTTTCTTGAGAGAAGTAACAAGAGTAAAACTAGAGCATGAAGGTAAGATGTGGCCTTGGTAACTGTTCTTTACAAGGATGATGCATTTTACATAACATAAGAACATAAGAATGGAGGAACTACAGCAGGCCTATTGGCCCACACTGGGCAGTCCCGTTTACACCCAACCCCTATCGCTCATAATCCACCCAACCTATGTTTGAAGCTATCCAGCGTATTTGAGTTAATGATGATGTTTGGTAACTTGTTCCACTCTTCCACTACTCTATTTCCAAACCAATGTTTACCTATTTTGCGCCTAAATCTAAATTTCTCTAATTTAAAACCATTGTTAAGAGTTCGCTCCTGGTTGGATAGGAATTGCAGATTGTGTAGACTAACTTTGACAGTATGTGTAATAGAAGGAAAACAAAGGTACAGTGAATGGGTAGCTTTATTCTTTCTCTGGACCACTTTATTTATTGTCTTACTAAATAGAATGAATGGGTACAGTATTATTTACAATGTGGCTAATTGTATATGAGTAGTATACTCTATCTATACAGCTAACTAGCATGGGAAATGCCGTATGGGTCCGTACGATTAGTTTTGGTCTAATTTTTAACCTTCTGATACAGTACTTCAGGTCATGGTTAGAAATCTCACTCCCTCACATTATTTCAATGCAGGTTACAACATAGGTTGGATGGATATATGAGCAATAGGAGTTGGGTGTAAATGGGACTGCCCAGTATGGGCCAATAGGCCCCCTGCAGTTTCCTCCATTCTTATGTTCTTATGTTGTAACAGGAAAGGTTTTTTCCATTTTAATATACATTGGGTAGAGCAATCCAGACCTAAATTGCACCCTTAGAGATGCATCTCCCAGCCCATGAGGCTAGTGGGAGGAACTTAGGTGGTTGATAGGGCTGGTCCACTGTTCCTTCATTTCTGCTTATGGGAGCAACGCAATTTGTGTCAAAAGACCACAAGAGGGTTAAGGACAATAGTCTGAGTTATCCATCCACCTAACGAAAGATATCTAAAGAAGAAATCGTATTTCTTACATCAAAATTAAAGCAAATCAGGGTAAATATTTAGAAGTTGCCAAGCATGGAAATTACTATGGAAAATACAAGTAACTTGCCTTCCGCCAATACAGTATGTAGTGGAAATTGTGATATTTATAGCTTTGTCTTCCACAAACCTTCCTCTATCGAGAGACAAGTTTTGGAGCTGAAAATGCAAATGTAGGTAAGGCTCAGAGTCCTGCAAGTACAGGGGGACAATGGACTGCTCATGGTAGCTGTGAGCAAAATCTGCTTAGATAGAGGAGTAACCAGCCAACCACCACAGCCCAGATATAAATAACAATGGTCAAAAAGTTATCTAAAATGTGTTTAGGACCAAAATATAGTCACTTTCAACCCACCAAAAACTTCAATACTGTACCACCATGTACCTCACCTACCGTAATCTGAATAGCTATCTGACAATAGGAGATTATGCCTAATGAAAATAATTTGACATTGCATATAAAAATAGATGTCTTAAGCTACATTTGAAAACAAAAAAACATTCATATACAGTATGCTTATTGGTTCAAAGGTTATAACATTTTGAAAGTTGACACTTTAACTTTAATTTTTGTTTTTGTTTTTCGTTTGGCTGGGGGCCTCATCCACTATTCCCATGGCTCTAGGTTTCCAACTCGCCTCTGGTTCATAAGTGAATCAATTGTTTTAGCGAAGTCTATAAGAAGGACATTGGTGTAACCAAAATAATTATATAACTGTCCACAGGCCAATAACTTAAATCAACGGTAAACTGATTGATCTGTCTTATATTTTTCTCCAAATTGTATTTACTTAAAATGAGGCCCTTAAAAAAGAAAAAAAACTATACTATATTGTGCTCTTTATTTTGCCCTGCACCAACCTTCACTTTCTTAGTAATTTCAGCTTTTCAAACAAAACTTTTCATTGCATATTCATGCAGTTTTGAAAAATAAAGTGAAAGCTTTATGTATTTAAAATTTCTGAACACCTTGTACTGTACATTGTGAATATGCTCTGTAATTCTGTGCTCGTGTGGAATATACTGTATTACAGAACGGTACTCTTATCAGTTGTGAATATCCGTGACCAAAATATGACCGGTTTAATATCAGATAAAAACTTAATTTAACCTTGCTTAACTAAAGCAAACTTTGTCAAATTTACCTAAGCTTCATGTTACTGTGAATATCATTTGTAGGAATATTTTTTTTAGCATTTACTCATGAATGAAGGTGTTTGAAGATTATGTCTATTGTATTTAATTGTTTTCATATCTGAAAATGCATTGTAATTGATGATTTTTTATTTAACAAATCATTGAAATTATGTATAGTTTTCATTATTATTGTATTGAGAAGTTTTTATGATTTATGCATACACAACATGAAAGCGTAAGTAAACATTCATTTTCATTTTCAGGAAAAAGATCTTGGGAGAAGTGCAGTCAAGTGAACGCAATAAACTACCATCATGGAAATCAGTCCTTGTGCTAGGTAAGTACTGTACTGTACACTAGAAGAGTTTTGTGCATGCAGGAGGAGGGAAAGAGATTTCCCTTTTTGATGTCCACCCAAAGTACAGTATGGTCTCAAAAAATCTGATTCAACAGAATAGGAAAAAAATATACTTATTGTACTTAAAATCAGAAATATTTTAATTCATTCAGTGTACTGTATACAATACTGTACTACTGTAATGTACGGTCGGGTCTCAGATTGCCTGAGGGTTACGTCCTTGGGATCCCGCATAAGTGCAAATTTGTGTACAGTATATACAGGTCTCCCCCTCCTGTATGTACTGTACAGTACAGGGGGTCCCTGACTTATGAATGTCTGACTTACGAACGCCTGCCAACATGAACGGGGCTAAACTTCAAATTTACAATATTTTATTTACCTGATGACTCATTTTTTACTCTCATTTGCTGTATTTTGTCATTCTATTTCTTCTTTTCTCTTAAATTAAGTGATTTTAGAAGTATATAAGGACTTAGGCTATGATATAGTGGGATTTTAAATATTGTTCTGTAAGTACGATATGCACATAACATGTGTTTCGACTTACGTACATTTTCGACTTAAAAACGTCCTCATGAAAGAAACCTGTTCATAACCCGGGGACCCCTCTGTATATGCATAATCCTTTTATTATGCTAAGGGAACTGGCACACAACTTCAGAGTTTGATACGTCCAATACAGTAGAGTATTACCTCTACTGTACTGCATACTGAACCGCTCCTCAGATTCCAGTACATATTACCTCTATACTGAACCCTTTACAAAACAGATTGAATGTTTAATGAGGAAACTAAATGATAGTAGAAGAAAAAATTCTAGATGAAGGAAAAGTATAAGAAAAAAATAGTACCTGTTCTGTATAACTCCTTTTAACTCCACAGTCTTAACATTGTATAAAATCTTTAATCAGTTGGCTCAGATTCACACAGATATTTAGAGTAATGTATAAATTGCAAATGTTGAGCAGAGGAAGGAAAACATGAGTGGAAAAGTGTTAGAATAAGGGTGGAAGTCTGCACATGAAGTGTTGGTGTCAATTAGCCAAAGTTAGAGTTGGGGGGCTTGTGGCATATACCATTGAATGCGAGAGGCAAATTAAAGAAAACCAAACCTAGCATACTGATCTTTTGCTAATCTGTTATGACCTATATAGTAAACGTATCCACCAATCGCGTGTCCGGTGTTATACGACCAATACCCATTCATTCATAAACAGTGATACTACTACTGCGACGGTGCCGCTTGGAAAAACAAGGGGTGTGGGGTTACAATAGGAAATGAGGTAACATGAGGCCTGAAAAATAGGTAATGAGTTAAGAGTACCGATAATTGTCTGAAATGTTACCCAAGTAAAAATTTTGAGAAAAAAATTACTGTCAAGTACTGTTTATTAAAAAAAAAGTTGTTTGAGCTAAAGAACGAACCAACTTTACTTCTTTACCATCCACCTCTGCAAACACCATCTTAAGCTTATCAACCATGAATAGGATTCACTTAACTCTCAGGGTTTTCATATGCAAAAACTTTAATAAGTTTTTATACCTTTAAAATGTTTTCCTACACAAAGGTGTGTATAAACAATATACTGTACAGGGTTTTTTTTTTTTTTTTTTTTTTTAAACATGGAATCATATGTATAAGTGCAGAGTAAAAGCTGGGCCTATCATAGGTAGGTTCTGCTTTGTATGTCTAGCAACCACACCTTTCAGTTATACAAATGAAAATCTTGAAGTTAGGAAAAAATTTTAATTTTTCATATCTGATGCTGAGGTGCTGACACAGGCATCTAGAAGCATCCCTATGTTGATCAGTCAGTGGTCTGGGTAAAGCAAGAGGGGGTATGCAGGGCTAGTGTCCTTCCCCTTGCAAGGGGAATTTACAAGAAGTTTTCTCAAGTGAGATAAACATTACCATGAATGGTGAAAATCAATATTACAGGTATAGTATATGTACAGTTATACATTTTCAAGGCCTTTTGTTTAAAAAAAAAATAGAAAATACCTGAATCTGGTTTGTTTCTGGTTCCAAGCTGCTGGATGATTGATATTCTACCTGTACAAAAATTTCTGTATCTTTACATTTACTTTCACACAGTAGACATTTTTTTTTTTTTAGTAGCTTGTGCCAAATTAGCTGATGAGAAATTTGTGGTCACGTGTTTGAAATTTTCAGTGTGATCTTTTACTTTCAGGTGAAAATGAATCCGGTAAAACTACACTGATCGCTAAGCTACAAGGAAATGAAGATCCCAAAAAAGGCTCTGGTTTAGAGTACGCATACATAGATGTCAGGGATGAATACAGAGATGGTAAGTTTGGTGTTGATTTGTATTTATGAAGAAAAGTAATTTTTGGAACATTGCTTCAGTGTTTCCTTTTAGTAGATATCTATTCATTCATTCAACCTTCAGTCCACAGAAAGCTGAATGTCATGCAATTGTTATTTGAAAAATATAAGGATCTGTAGTGGTTTTGTCTATAATTGAAAAGTACACTCCCTATTGATTTAGTAAAAGAAAGGCACCTTCCTGGATTTGAATGGCTTTAATCATTATGATTGTACCTCATACACACTGCTTATGGGTGTAGTATTCTTTTGGGTATTTCTTTGTAACATCGTACAGTAAAATCAGAAATCTGAGTTATAATACAGGTACAGTATTAATAAAACAAAAATCAATATTACAACCTAAAGGTATTGTACTAATGTGATCCCTGTCCTTTACAGACCACACAAGGCTAAGTGTCTGGGTACTGGATGGAGACCCTAAACATGCAGAACTTTTAGAGTTTTCAGTGAATGCAGACAACTTGGAACACACTTTAGTCTTGCTTTCTGTTTCCATGACAACACCTTGGGCCATCATGGACCAGCTTCACACGTGGGCATCGACACTCCAGGATCATATAGACAAACTCAATCTTGATCCAGACAAGTTTAAAGAACAGCAAGATAGAAGTAAGTGTTGTTTTGATTTAAGTTTAATACGAAACTACTGACTTTTTTCCTTAACCAACCCTCTTATAGAATTCCTTGAGGAAATGCATGGAAATGGGTTGCTTAACTTAAAGGAATTTTTCAGCAACATAATGTAAGCCTCCTGAAGTTTATGCTTCAAAATTGGGTTTGTGAATAGTGTATTACAGCTCCTCCCCGACTTACGACCTACTCAACTTATAACCACCCGCACTTACGACCTGCCTCAGTCGTACCAAAATTTTGTCAAATTACGTATTTTTGAGTCCCAACGTCAGTACACAGACAAAATTTTCGTTTGTAATTCAATTTAAAATGGCTGGCAAGCTTAAAAGTGAGAGTTTTGTGGTGCTGAGAAGAAAAAGAGACACCCATTTTAGATTTTCTATGTATTATTTAAGCATTTTCGACTTACGACCATTTCGACTTACAACCTGGATTTGGGTCCCTTACCCTGCCGTAAGTCGGGGAGGAGCTGTATATACAAAAGTCTTCTCGAACATACAATAATATAAACCTTCTCAGAAAGGTGAAATTGTTTGAAAATAATATACTGTACTGTTCTGTCTATAGATCATCATTAAATAGAGTAATGCTCTAAAATTGCAATGATCAATGAGGAATTTTATGAAAAGTTTGAGCTCTTTTGCTCAATTGTAAAATGATCAACTTAATAATTTCTTTTACCATGAAAATTACTATTTTATATTTTTTCAATGATGTGTGTGTGCTTGTATATGAGTTATTCTCTAGGTTTTCACTCATTTATTTTAAATCTAATTTTTTTTTTTTTTATGTAAACCTTGGTTTTCTGTCTATGTTCATTATGTTGCTCCAGTACACACTGTACTCTTCTTGTCATTCTTGTATATTTTCCTGTGATGGCTTCAGTTGAATATTATTTGTATGTGTATTAGCTTACAAAAAAGGTGGTGATGAGTCATGGTTACTGGTTCAGGAAGTAAGTGATGGTGTCATGCACATATGTGTGGGGTTTGAAATGCTTCATTTTTTCTCTTCTCGGAAACATTTGTTAATTTTGTTTTTGTTTTTACCATAATTATTACACTGAACATGTCACTTGAACTTAAACCACTGTGGCTAGGATCATAACTGGAAAAAACACTTGGAAATTTTTGCTTGTTCATTTAATTTTTTTAATAGCATTTCTTTAACTCTTTATTTTATTTACTTTACAGTAATTATTTTTTATTTTACCTGATCTCATGTCTGTCTTGATAGTTCTTTTTATATACTGTACACTACTGTACCTGTAATTCTGATACACATAGTAAGCCAACAATGACTACTACACTTTACTTGATATCCAGGATAATGCCTAATTCTTGATCAAGTTCCTGCAAGTGGTGTAATAATTGTACAGTGAATGATCCAGGACTTGGATGATTGTTGGGGGAAGGGGAAAAATTGAACTGAAACTGACCAGTCATTGTGTCCAAACCATCCAAATTAATAGTGTTAATTAAAATATTTTGCTTATAAAACAGCAACATTTATGGAGCACTTAAAAGTTCATGGAATTTGTTCGGTAATGCCCCCTTTGCTCCATCAATATATCCATGATTGGTTGGTATTATTATTACCCAACTTAGTAACATTGGTCATTCACTGCTTTTAAGGTGGTAATGTTTAATGTGTGACATTCGTGACTCTTAATATAATTAGTAGACAATGTTTGGAGAAGAATCTGTATGTGTTACTCTTCATTTAAGTGCAGGAAAGGCCGTTATGATGTTGATCAATTATCACAATGAGTATGGTATTATATATACAGTAGATGTGATAGTAATTTTCTTTACTTTGTTACTGCTTACTAACAAAGTATTTTATATTAAAATTGGTAATAAAAAGTAGATGCTACTTAATATTATAGTATTAGATAGAGTAACAAAGTTTTTTTGTGGCACCAGTGTCGCGGTTATGGCAAGATTATGTTGAGCCTGGAGATGAACTAGAAGCTGGGTCACCCATGAAGCGATCATCAAGAAACCTGGAGAACGATGATGAGCCTGTCTTGCCACTCCCAGAGAATGTTTTAACCAGAAATCTTGGACTTCATGTCATAGTTGTAGTTACTAAGGTGTGTAGGGAGGTATATTGATGTTTATAATTGATAATAGTACTCCCTAGTCAGGCTTAGACTCTGAATACATAGCAACAGGATTGATAGTGAATGTGAAGTTCCTTCTGTGCATACTATTGTTAATTCTTAATTTACATTTTCAGTGAGGATTTGTTTTTTAACTTACTGCCTCATTACCAGTAAGGAATTCTTTTTATCATTGCAAACTAAAGCCCATATAATGATACTGTAGTACCAAAGATAATGACAATTTATATTGTTTAGATACTACCCTTTTAGATTGTTAGAAATGACTATATTGCATAATTTATAATTTTTAATTCAAGTCTCGTATGTCTTTCAACATATTATTGGAAAGAATCTTTTTATTGTTAGATCAGCTGGCTTATTGAGATTTTTATAGACTTCAATAACCCCTGATGGTCTTTTGCCTTTGCTAGCTCCTTCTGCTCTTCAGTGCTGTTTAGAGGTGCATTGCATATTATATAACAGCAATCTTTTCAGCTATTACTGTTTAAATCAATTGTCTGCCCATTCCATTTAACTACTGTATATTGTACCTTCTTAGTGGCACCAAAATTATCTAATATTAACAGTCATTTCATAAAACCACTAAAGCAAATTTTTTAGCCGTATAAAATAGTAGACAATGTGTTTTACATCTTTGGGGTTTACATATGGAAAATGATTTGTTACTACTATAAGACATTACAATTGGCATGTGTGAATGAATGAGTGACTAGTTTTTTTTATTAAGGAAGGGGATTACATAACAGGTGTATTTATCAATTAGGAGATGGATATGCCTTTGTGTTTAAGAGACCCTAAAAGATGTGCCGGTCATTATCATCAATATTTTGCGGACATTTCCATTGTTTCATAGGTTAGCTGTGACATTGTGTGTGTGTTAAAGTATTACCGTAGTTTAAAGATTTTAGATATGCCTCAGTGTGTGTGTTTAAAAAATAGTGAAATATCAGTGAATTTTAGGGTTACGAGAGAATTGTTAGGGGTTTTGTTTAACAGATGGAGATGTACTAATGTGCTTGTTTTAAAGATTTTAGAAATGCCAGTGTATAGTACAGTCCATACTTCACTTTAACGACTAATTGGTACCACGAAAACAGTCGTTAAAGTTAAAATAGTTAATGTGGTGAGTATAGTTTACATGCTAAACGGGTAAATTGGTACCAGCCCTCAGATACTTTCACACCCTATAAACCCCACAAAAAACTACAACCACTTATTCACACACATTAATACTGCATGTAGAGTTAATAACTAATAATAACCAGCATTTAGGCACTCATTGAAATGCTAAGTGAGACTGTTTGCTGTTATCCAAGGCAGGGGAGTGGTGTTAGTGCCCCCCTGCCCCCCCTCACTCACACTGCTGCTTCCCCAGCACAACCACCAACTGATCCTTCAGTCTCAAAGCCAATGAAGTCTGGTGGTAAATCATCTAACAGATCACACACAGGTAAATCTTGAACTTTACCATCAGCAGTGCCGTCATCTCCCTCTTGAATGTTGACTCATGCTAAAACAGTAGCAGCAGCATGTCACAGTAAAGTGAGTAGGTTACACCACACCTCCTGTTCACACACACTGATCAAAACAAGCCACCCCGCTCACTGATGTCATCAAGATGGCCTTCCAGAGTGACTATCAACTTGCACTACTGATCATTATTGTGTTGAAATGTATCGTTAATGTGTTGAGGTGTCGCATTTCATTACTGTCGCTTTTGTGATCAGTCGTTAATGTGAAACTCGTAAGAGTGAAGTATGTACTGTATATGCTTTAACAGATTGAGGTATGCCAGTTTATTTAAGAGATGAGAAGAGGGTCATGATTTAAGATATCGGGGAAGAAGGTAAATTCGTTCACCGAAATTTTGTTAATCGAGGGACCACTGTATAGGTTAAGGGATAGTATAATGGGCAAAAAAAAACAAAGCCAAATAATTATGAAGGCTAGAGGAACTGTGATTGTGATGAAAGTAACTGGAACTTGTCTCCAGATCATGGTTTAATTTGTGAGCATTATTTTGATATTTTCTTCTCTTAACCATTTTTGTCACTTCATCTGTATTTTCCTTTAAAATCTTTATTTCCTGTCTAGGTGATTAAAGAAAAATAGCATAGTATGTCACAATGATGGCTAAGACTCAAAATATTGCAAATTTAAGGGACAGTAATAGCATGAATAATTTATAATCCTTAAACAGCAGCCATTATCGGAAGTTTCATGATTTTCGCTCTCTATTTGAGTTATAAGTTCATGTGTAACTAATGGGTGTTCTTGACACCATTCTCCTATACTTCTGCAAGGCTGTTCCATCCCGGTGTTAAATTATCCTTTGTGGCAGATGAGTTTTCTTTGACATATTGTATAGTGCTGGTGAGGGCTTTGGGGGCACCACCCTGGCCATCCCATAACATTAACCCATAGCTTTCAATAGTTTTTTCTAACTCTAAATAAAGGCAGAGGAAACAGAAAGAGTTTTTATGGCATCAGTTAGAATGAAGAGGCAGGGTGTCAACCCCATGAGCTCACTGCCCTTCCTTTTGTTAGGTCTAATGGCATAGATTTTATACCAAATATCCAGGGTTCTGAAGAAAATTATCATAATTTATACTTTTTGTGAGTGTATTTCCATTATATTTTGATACATTTACATACAGCTAAGGAGGAATCGAGAATCCTTTGTCTCTTTACAAGGGTTGAGAGATTGAATAATCTGCAGTACATTATTCAGTGTTATTGCTTTTTTATACTGTATATGCTTTATAGTGAAATTATTATTTACTTTACTAAATGCTTGCTGGTGCCATAATGAAAGAATTTCCTAATTCTGGATTGTAATTACTGCTTCATAGCATAATCTGATAATGCATGACACCATTTTATAAGGGTAGATATTGTTTTCACATAAGTCTAGAAAACTCATTATGACTGGACTGGGTGAGTTGTTATTAATGAGTTACTGGTGTTTTATAGCAGCATTTGTATTGCTGCCCACTTGGTGATATGCTGCAGACTCTCAGACTTTTACTGCCTTCAGACACTTTAATTTCTTACTCAATTTCCTTTTTGTATTCTTTTTCACTTGTCACTGTTTTCCCACATCCTGTTTTATGCTCTTTCTCTTCAGGATGCTCTGTAGCTTTAAAATAATTGAAATAGTTTATTGCTCTTTGTTTCTGCATTTTGTACATGCAAGATGTACTTAGCCTTGTTTTTGCAATGAAAGTACATAATAAACTTTTCTTTTGAATTAAGTCTTAGTAAATTTTTTCCAGACGGATTATATGTCAACGTTAGAAAAGGATTTTGACTATAAAGAAGAACACTTCGACTTTATTCAACAATCAATTCGAAAGTTCTGCCTTCAATATGGTGCGGCCCTTTTTTACACCTCGGTAAAAGAGGACAAGAACTGTGACCTGTTGTACAAGTATCTAGTCCATAGAATCTACAACTTCCCCTTTAGAACTCCTGCACTTGTTGTCGAAAAAGATGCTGTGTTTATGTAAGTTGTTCCTGTGTTTATTGACTACAGGTAATGATTTATTTGTTGTGTGTGCTCATAGTTCTGATAATTTTTAGATACTATGTGAAGTGGGGGTATGGCCTAGTATCTAGAACCATCTCATGGGTGGTAGCCAATCACATGGGCCCAAGTCCTAATATGCGTTAATGCAACTGTGCTCCACCTTGACTTAATCTAACCATTAGGATTGGGATACTTAAGTGTGGGATTCACTTTTGTGTGTGTGTGTGTGTGTGTGTGTGTTAGTAAGACACGGGTGCATTTGTTTAGTTACCTCAAGAATAAACTCATTACTTTTGCTGAGATTGTACGTTAGTGATGATGAGTTGCTGTCGGGCTGTGACTACAGTGCTCTGACAAGGGTAGCAGTATTATCTCAACAGAGTGTTCTCCCACAGGAAGGTCCTAAGATTCCTGTCAGGTTTATCGATGTTACTTAATATATCATCCTATCATCACAATCCATAGCACTTCAGCCCCCGCCAAAATAAAAATAAAAAGATTTGTTCTGAAACGAAGTTATTCTAATATTTCAGATATTTAGAGGAATAGTTTTATTGAACATTTAGAGAAATCATTAGTCAAGGTCAAAACATTACTGATAATTCTTACATTTCCGAATCTGGAAATGCATAATGAATTAATCAATCCAAAAATTTTGAATCTGGAGGAACTGCCCAGTGAAGTCCTCAGTATTATTTCAAATCTGATGCTGTACAGGTACTTGCCTTTAATTAGTAAGCTGTTGTATGGAATAAGGATTTAAGAGTGAAGGTTGAAACTCCTTTCCCTTTTACTTTGCAGACCTGCTGGTTGGGACAACGACAAAAAAATTTCCATCCTTTATGAAAATATGCACACAATGAGTCCAGACGACTACTACACGGATGTTGTAGTTAAACCTCCAGTGATACGCAAGGTAGGAGTTGAATATTCACTGATGTACCCATTCTAGAGTTGGGGGGCTTGTTTTGAACTTCAGTACTGTTGAGAGTTGATTCACAAAGTGGGTTGATTTGATTCTTCTCAGAAAGTTTGATGTCAGGGAAATTTTCCCTGGTATAATGACTTTGTTAGAAGAGTTGGTGTCATTTTTATTCTTTTATGAGCAATGCCTGTGAATTACAAACCTAATTTTGATTCAGTTAGGTATGAGTGTTCCCTGTGACAAGTTCTGTAAAGATATTCTTTGGATGGTCAGTTTGGCATTCATGTTATTGAGGAAAAGTAATAACTCAATTTTGGCTTCTCTTGCAAAACCACTGAATGAAGTGAAATTTGCACACTGGATAACTTGACCTCAAGGAAAATAGATTTCTAACACAATAGATATTAACAGTAAGCACTTGGGTAGGGTTTTACTTGGCTATTGAAAGTTTGGAGAATTCATAATTCCTGCAGTTAAACATTGAAATACAATGATCATCCTCAGGCAGTTGCGAGGGAGATAGAAGTTCAAGCAGAAGATGAACAAGCCTTTTTGGCACGGCATCTATCCCAGCTTCAGGCAGGAGGCACTGGTGCCCCCAACACACCCCAGGGTCGTCAGGAATCCCCACTAAGACAGTCACCAGCTGTGCAGAAGACCAGTGAGCGTCGGGTATCAACAGGTGTTCCTCCAAATCAAATTGGCTCACCAAAGAAGGTCAGTGTCTCTAGACATTATTGTATATACAGTAACATAAATAAATATTTGATATTAAAATAAAAAATTCTGTTTAGCTTGTCATAACAAAAAAAATTTGGTGTAGAGATGTAAAATTACAGTCAATACAGTTGTATCCTTTTTGGTCTAGCCTGTCCGTTAAAATATTGATCATTCTCATGGTTGCTGTTATTATTGTTTAAGGATAAGACTCATTGTGTACATTTCATATTAAATTGTATATTTTTTTTTATTCTGGAGACAATATAGATTAGTGAACCAATCAAGTATTTGCTTGACCAAGTGTCAGGGTAAGGTTGTTGAGGTATAATTGAAAAAACTTGCTTTTAGATATTCTGTTGTTTGTCTTTATCAGATTCATATAAAGTTATTTATGAAAGAGGCCATATTAGTAGTGGCACTTTCAAAGTGCATAGGAGGGAGGTTGCATTTTTATGGTTGCATATCATCACAGTTGGCCAATTTTCTATGCTTGCTCGACATGTCTGAATTACATGAACAGTTAAGACTTTTTGTGTGCACACTGCTCTTATTTTGTTTACTGTATATTTAAACATGATAACAGTTATGTATTTAATATATTATAAGCTATAAAGCTTGCTTGGTGTTTCTAAGGTTGACATCATAATAAGAGATCAATTAGCAATTTAAATCACTAAGTGTTTGAGAGTGCCTTGGGTGAGGCTGCCATCACTGTATATGTACATTTTTATTTTCCGAATTCTTTTTCCCTGTATTTGATGACTACACCAACTTGAGATACAAATTTGTAAAACAGATATGAGAATTACTGTCTTGTGTATGTTCCCTGGAGGTGTGCAGGGGGGCTATGACACTATATACTATTGGTGTTTGTTATTGAGTAATTGAAAATAAAATGGCCAGTATTTTTTCAACATTTGAGATGGATTTATAGGGAGGGTATTATGGAGGATAAGACATAAGTCATGGAGATGCTCTCAGGTCATAATTACCTTTTCAGTCTATCATTCTTTGTATGTTTTTGTATTTCATATCTTATATATTTGGATTTTTTAATAATGTAGTCTTTGGTTGACATACCCATTGGTCCTCACATCATTTCCAGGTCTCCATTATTTACTGTAGACAAGCTTGTGTCCCTGTATACTGTATATATTATAATAGCTCGTGCTTGATGGCAAGAAGACCTTTCCTTCGTGTGTAAGGAACGTTTTTGCGTCTGGTGTGAAAACTGTAATGTTGTGTGGTAGTGAAACATGGGCGGTTAATGAGGATGATTTACATAGAATGATAAGGTGGATGTATAATGTGACACTGAAGAGCCAAGTGGGCAGTTTGGTGTAGAGGTAGGGAAGTCTAAAAGTGGCGGGGCAGAGAGCTAGAGGTAGGCCAAGAATACCACGGGAGAGGTTGTAAGATGTGACATAGAGAGTCAAGAACCTGATGACCGAGGCTGCAAAAGATCACATGGCATAGAGAACTGCCAGTAGGTACTCATGGAGATTGGCCAGAAAATGGTGATGATGATGATGATGATTTTTCCCAAAGATAGGTTGGCTATTGTCATTTGTTTGTGATAGTTTCTGGTGGCAAATTACTTGGAATCTTGTTATTTCTCCTGTTCTTTGGTTGTACATCAGGATGAATGTGATAAAGAGGATGTGTTTTTGTTTACAATGTAGAATTGTACTGGAGAATGATTGTTCAAGATGGATTTTGTTTGTTTGATTGAAGGGTGTTGGAAGCTGAAATTTTAACATTGTGGACTCAAATGGTAAGGTCCGGTAATGGGAGCATTGTCCGCTATTAACCAGGTTTACTGCTTTTAAAATATCTTGTAGCAAAAACTGCAGTAGTTCAAAAGGGGAACAAAGTGCTTTTTATTGTATTCTTTTATGTTCTGTAAACACTGTAAAAAGGCAGACCCTCCTATTAAGGTAATCCTCCCAATAAGGAATAGGGCTTGTTGCATGAATTAGTCTGGTATTAGGGGGGTTTACTGTGTGTGTATGTGTGTGTGTATATATATATATATATATATATATATATATATATATATATATATATATATATATATATATATATATATATATATATATATATATATATATATATATATATATATATGTATATATATATATATATATATATATATATATATATATATATATATATATATATATATATATATATATATATATATATATATATATATATATATATATATATATATATATATATACCATGTAGTTCCTCAATGAAAACGTGGATAAGATAAATCTTGATAAAATCACACGGGAAAAGGGAAACAACGGAGCACCTTAGCTTTCGTCTTTATTCAAGACATCTTCAGAGGCAACTGAGTTGCCTCCGTTGTTTCCCTTTTCCTCGTGTGATTTTATCGAGATATATATATATATATATATCCTGAGCTTGTTTTGTGGAAATTATATGTGCAGAAATATTTATGGAACTCATGGAACTCATTGCAATTAACAAAGCACCTTGCAGTACTTCCATATATGTTTTATTTTATTTCTGAAAAATCTATTGTAGATATAATTTATCTCCCACTCATGCTTTTAGATGTGGAGGCCGCCTTCTGTAAGTGTGCCATAGACATGTACTGTCTTGAGTTATTGTGTGGCTAGTTTTTGTTTTTTGCAAAAATCTACATTTTTATTGTTTAGCTTATTCTATAACTGAAACCTACGCCTTTGCTTGAGCGGACACATAAAAATGCTTTTTTTTTTCATCCTTTACAAGTGCTCTTATGTGGGTGGGTTGCATGCATCATTTTTTAGCAAATGCATACAGTATATAGTGTACACATGAATTTGAGTATTAAGGTGCAGCTTACATTAGATATGCTGTATATCTACAGTTGCTTGTAAGAAATTATACAAATAATAAAGCTTTTTTGTACTTGAAAGAAGTTAAAAATAAATTTGAAGTTAGGGAAGATTTATTGGTTTGAGGGTGTGATTGAGAGTTGGGACTGGTAATACTGAATTGAAGTTAATAAATTTCACAGCACCTTGATCATATAACTATAGTGAGGAGAAAGGTGGGAACAAAGTCTTAAGAGTTAGGTGTTTGTTACAGAAGTAAACACTTGAGAGACATTTGAAGGGTTGGAAGATATGAGGTGATAGGTAACTGGAAGAGAACGTGATGGCTCGGGGAAAGATCATTAAATATACTGAGATTGTGGTCATCATTTTGCTCTTAAGTGTTAAGGACGTTGTGACACAAGGTTATGTAAAATTTAGTAATACTGACTCATATGTAATGACACACTGAGGTTGTAACAGTGTTGAGACAAGTGAATACTATTGCATTTATGTAGATGGCCTTCAAGGCAACACGTGGGAATTTAAGACTGGAGTGTTATGGAATAGAGATGTAAAAAATTCATTGGTGTGAAAATTTTTATTACAAATTTTAAGCTATCTGAGGAACAGCAGAGTACAAAATATATGATGTTTCTTTCAAAAGGGAAAAACGTGAAAAGGTTGGTGAATGTTGAATAAAAATAGCAAGTTAGTAAAATATTTTGAAAAGCGTGCAGTTTAAGATTTCATGTGGAATATTGTCTATGCTGCCAGAGGGTAAAGAAGTTTAAGGAAGAGCTTTGCTTTGTGAAAAAATTATCAGAATTTTTATTGAATTTGGGTTAAATTGAATGCAGTTTACAAGTTAAAGAAAGACTATTGCTTGAAATAAGTTGGGTTAACTTTTTCTGAAACTTTTAGGGGTTCAGTAGTTAATGAAGTGAATGGGGTGATGTTGAAAATTAATGGGTTGTATTATTTTAAATCTGAAATAAAGGCTTTGTCTGCAGAATGTGTCCTAACAATCGTACGGCAGTAATGTGTGCGAGTCTGTGTCTTTGTGTGCTTGTGTGTTTAATGATAACAGTTTATAGAAAACAATACAACAGCTGTTAGCTGAAAATATACAAAAGATATTGGTGGTACATATACTGTACAGTATAGCAATAGCATGGGGGGGAGAAGGTCATTTAACAAAGAACTTTAGTGTAGCTATAACACAAAATGATGATTAGCAATGAGTGAACACACAAGTTATCAAGGAGTTGTTGATGACTTTTACAATGATTGGAAATTGGAATGGGGCTGTACCTGTAGCAATCGGTACAAGGTTGTATGGGCTGATGTAGATGTGGCAGTGGTGGCTTATGCCCGTATTATTAAACAATATCTTCCCTGGAAGAGGGTCGTCGTATTTCAACCCGAGCTTTAAACTAAATGAGTCCTGAGGGACACCGCAGTACTGTACTTAACGGGGTGGTGTGGCGATAAAATTAACTAATTCCAATAAAATGAATTTGTTATTGGAATTAGTTAATTTTACTGCCACACCACCCCGTTAAGTACTGTACTGCGGTGTCTCAGGACTCATTTAGTTTAAAGCTAGGGTTGAAACACGACGACCTTCTTTAAGGGAAGGTGTTGTTTAATAATACGGGAGCTAGTTCCAAGTTGACCGATGGTATCACAGTGTTGATTAGAGTTGAGAAGGCTGGTGTGTGTGTGTGTGTGTTAGGTTTGTAGTGATGCCGTTCAATTACGATAATATTCATGATAGTCATGTTTAGCATGATATATACAGTCCAATGTGGAGGTTATGTTCTTGAAAAATATCATGTTTGGCAAATCCATGTTGGGCAAACTTAATACCATACTTTTAACAGGAAAAATAGGGTTAGAGGAAGGTTATAAAAAGAGCACTAACCTAACCTCAAATGTGAATGTATTGTACTGCATCTATATACTACTGTACATGTAATATTCATAAATATAAACTATATAAGCAGTTATAATGTGTACTTGTATGCATATACTGAAATAAAATTACAACTGTCCTGAAACTTGCATTCACCAATGAAATCTTAACCCAGGCGATTATGTGATCCTATAAATTTAATATTTTCCTGCATGGCTACACCATAAACAACAGAGCCTTTCATTTTCATTTGATCACTGATCCACACACTTAATAACTTCTCCATCTTTTTAGTACTAGGAAGCCTTTAAACTAGTACAGTACTGTACTAATCTTTTCTCACAAACAGGAATAGTGCATGTAGTTGAATCATTTATCTTATGCTAATGGTGACTGAGGGATGCTGGAGTTTGACTCGTGTAGCTTGTCTAAAAACACTTCTTGCTCGGCTAATGTCATTATCTTACACGGTTTCTTCAATTTACCACCACCTAGCAGACTGTTTATGGTTAGGTGTCATCGTGTAATCAAGGGTATATAGTACAGTTAAAGTCAAGTGATTTCTCCTCTAATTAGTGTTGTAAACAAACTGACCTGCTAACTAAAGTGATTGGGTTGCTGGAGCCTGTGCTTGATGAATTACATAAAGACCCCTCCTGGGGCTTTAAACTAATTGGGGTTAATATTCCTGAAACTAATGGGGTTGGTGTATTCACAGAACCTAAAGCAGCCTGTTATTATTGGAGTGAAATATATATTGGAAAGATACGCTAATTACTTAATCCTTTATAGGTTTGGAAAGTGGTATCCAGTTGCGTGTGTGTGTCATTAAAGACTTTTCAGTTGAAAGATTATGGAGAAAGATGTTAAAAGAGCTTTTGTAATGGAGTGAATGGTAGTGTAACTGAGTTGGGTGATTTAATTAACATTTTTGTTAGGGTATTATTGTTATTAAGATGAGGGTAGAATGTTATTTGTAATTTAGATTTACTGGGTATTGGGGTTTAGTTGAATAAATTGGTACAAAAAAGGAAAATGCTATTGTTGCATTAAAGCAGGACTACTACAGTATTGAGTGGAGTTACAAAAAAGTGAAGTGAAATACAAATTGTGCAGTTTTGTTGAATAGTGAGGAGGAGGACATTATTGAGAGAATGTTTTTGTTTATGAGAAATATATCGGGTACATTATGGTATTAATCTGAGAGATGAAAATATTTGTCTCACTTGACTGAATTTAATTCATATAATAAAACTAATGGGTACTCATTTTTGTTATATAGTACAGTATTGCTTTTTCTATATATTTTTCTAAGGTTTTCATTCCAACATCTGCTTCTTACTGACCATCATGCTAGAAGTAATATTCACAAGCTAATTAGCATATTTTTTTTTCATAGAAATACTTTGATTTATTTTCTTTATTTGCAGTTTACACAGTGTGCTGATGATTCACTGCAGGATTCTCTTAATACATTTGATTGTCATTATGAATACACTTGATGTCCCTCTCAACTGGATTAATTTAATACCATTCTTGTTCTTCACTAAGTATAAGCTACATAGCTTACTATCACAATACTGTACCCAGATGACCCCATACTCTGTAGTGTCATCTGGTAATCCCCTTCAACTAAGCACTACCCTTATAACCCTTTAAAAAAATATATATATACAGATATATATATATATATACTGTATATATATGTATATATATATATATATATATATATATATATATATATATATATATATATATATATATATATATATATATATATATATATATATATATATATATATATATATATATATATATATATATATTATTCAAGTTAATCCAAACTCTTTAAAAAAATTAAAGTACAGTACTCCATGTTTGTGTGTTTGACTTTAGTGAGTGGAGCTTGTACCTTCAGACCAGCCTCTCCACTCACCTTATTCAGTCTTTTAAAGCATCATGGTTGCATGAGGAAAAATTTGACCACGATTTTGGCTAGATATTAGCAATACCTGTACTGCATAAACTGTCTTCTTGGTGAATGAGAGTTAGAAGCTTTTCATTTGTATACCTCTTTCAAATGTTTATTTATTTATTTACTTATTTAATTTTTATTGTCAAATTTTTACTGCTCTAAATTTATGGTTAAGATAGATTTGCACTGTGTAATTAATAGATTGCCTGAAACGGATACCAAATACAGTAGTTAAGCCTAGTCTGTGGTCTTTTGTGAGAGATAAGCAAGTTAATATAGTGTATTTGGTATTAGAATACTGTATAGTCTAAATACTTGAAGTGTAAGCCTCTTTATAAAATTAGCTAATAGAGAATACTATTTTTTCTTTCAATAGATTCACCAGAGAATTTCTTTTCCATGCTTTGTTGTTGTAGGGGATCCACACAAATATAAATAAAATCATGACATATTTTTTAGTTTTAGGGAGTAAAGATAAATTATTCAACAGTTTTAATGTTCGTTTATTCTAATTATCATAGCTTAATGAGAACTTATGATGAGGAAAACTTAGTTTAAAATTTTTAGCAGATTGAGTCGACGAAGCCTGGAGTTACACAAGCCAGTGAAGGTGTTCTTGCAAACTTCTTCAATTCTCTCCTTAGCAAGAAAACAGGAACAAATGCTCCTTCCCCTGGGGCAATAAAAACAAATGGTATGTAATTGATTTTGTGGTACAATAATTGTCACATGTTTAGCTCTCTTAGATAAACTTGTATTTGCATCACATACAATAGTAGTTAATGCAGAATATTGTAAATGGTGTCTTTAATCCAGGAAGAGATTTATCAGTACAGTACAGTAGTACTTGACATATGAGTTGGAAAACATTCAGAATTGAAAAGGTGGTTGATAAAACTTTAAATTAGAGCTTTGCTCTTATACAAGAAAAGATGGTAAATATAAAGGGGGACAAAAGGTAAAGTGGTTCAACAGTGACGTAGTTAGTGGGTTAAGAGTGTTGTCTCTGGAGAAATTTGTAGAATTGTGCTTGAGTTAGGAGCATACTTTCGCTTCCTCTTTTGTACAATACAGATAGATATTCAGATAGATTATCCAACTTTATCCAGTGTGTTTTTAGCTTATGTTTAGAAGCGATACTCCATGAACAGGATTTCCTATATCCTTTAGGGAACTTGCCTCCCTTTAGGAGGTGGTGGCCACTTGTAAAACCTATCTCAAACTCTGATCCACTAACCATATCCATCATCCTTTGGGGTGTGAAAAGATTACTGGACTATTAAGACATAAAATTGAAGGATTTTACTTAGTATTTATATGACATCTTGCAATTGATGAGTGGATCACTTGCGTACACCAAAATACAAAATAGTGTAGAAGAAATAAACGTTCCAAAAATCACATTCGACAAAATAAGAAAGGAGGAAGCTGCAATAAAACTTTAAGATACAAATAGCAGAAAAATATGAAGAACAGCCTATGAGTTGTAACAATTGAAAATACCTGCAGTAGTTATAACAATATTGTACACCAGGAAGTGATTTTAAGTATGACCATTCTACAATACTGTAGTGGTACCATAGGCAATTCGTGCCTTGGACTAGACATCCAGTAAGGGTGAATGCAGTTTTAAAAGTTCAAGCTTATTTTCATTGTGTTTGTTTTCCACAATTTCCTATACAGCTGAAGATTTTTAAGGTTTTTAGTTTTTCTTTGCTCTTGCGAGCCTTTTCTATTCTATCAACACAAAATCTCATCATTTGCTGCCTTTCATTCTAACTGCCCTAACTTAGGTGTTTTCCTTGATGATCCCCATCTACAACATAACCTAAAAATTTTCCAACTCGTTTACTTGAGTTGCGTCATACAACCCAGCATCACCCAGCAGCAGCACATGTCAACAGTGCTATTACAGTACATTACAGTACTATAATTGTAAATTACTGGTAAAATTATTTTCCCTTGTACTGTGACTACTGTGTGAATTTTTATTACATAAAAATATTGTATATTACAAAATAAGTAAGAATCAGTTGTTGAGTACAGTAAAAGTACTACAAAAAGTATATTTTACAATAATGGTACATTATGCTAAATTTGAAATAAAGTTGAGGAACTGTCAGTAAAGTTTGCCCTTGTTTTGTTATTGTAATTTAAGAGAAGTATGATGATAGAGGTTTGACATCTTTTCCTTTGGGTGTAAGATCTTTTTTCTTTACTATTAGTTTTATGCTACAATAATGGATTTTATTAATTTTTATATACTGTAGTTGCTATTTATTACAACCTTTCTAAATTAATGACAATATTTTGTATTTTACTTTTAACAGATAGTAACTGGTAATAACCATCTGTTATGTTTTGTTTGAGCTACTGAGATGTTATAATTTATTAGTTAAGGCACGAACCACCCAAGCCTAACCTAATTTTCCGACAGAAACCTAATGATCTGTGAATGCATTTAATAATTAATCAAGTAAAGTAAAGTAACCTCAGGTTTGTTTTGGTTGGTTAGTTTTCATAGTTTTAAAAGAAGTGGTACATTAAATTTTTCAACAAGGCATAATACCTAATAAGCATTACATTTGTACAGTGCTGGAACAAAACACTGGCAATGGTCAAGAATCATTCTTTGACTTCAATTAAATTCTTTATATTATGAAATACTGTATCCATTTTTCAAATTTATCTAATAGATTTGTACTAATTGAAAGTTAGCAATTAACTTTTCTTCCATAAAAAAATCACAAATACAAAAGTTACAGTGTAAAAGGAGAATAAATGGATGCCATTTTACTTTAAAACTACGGGCGTTTGGCCATGATTTAAAACGTTTTGTGAATTTTAATTTGTCATCTTGTTTACAAAGGTTATTCCGTCTATTATTCAACATGCATTCGGTAGCCTCAGACTATTCTTCCTTATACTCTTATTATAGTTTTATACACTTTTATTTATTACAGTAATAGTCTCTTTTTCCATCTTTTTAGAGTTCATGATCAGACAGTACTAAGCCAGCCCCTCAATCTTCTGCCACATTTGAAACAATCTGTCCTATTATCAAACTTCCTTTCTGCTTGAAGGATTTCTAACCTCATACTTTCTAGCTTCTTGAACATTACCTTGACCTTGTCATATTCTGTCTTGTTTCTCTTTCTCCTACTCTGTCAATATCTTATATGATGATGTTTCTTGGTGTACAGCTGGGTGGGTTGGCCATGCATAACCTCCTCTAAAACACCTTGGTCTCTGGCACACTGAACCATCCTAACACCCTCCCACGACTAGAAACTAATGTACGTATACCCATATATTGCGGATAACCGAAAAATGGAAATCCGTGGTAAGTGCATTTTCGTAACTAATTAATAAGTGGTGGGAAACATTGCTTTCATTGTTGGGTAAGCACAGAATACACTTTGCACTGTCAACAAACAGCATGTAAGTAAAATTAGTACCTACTATTAAAAGAAAATAAATCACCGTACTGAGTTCAGCATTCCGTAGAAATTTTTTCGTTTTCAAGATCAGTATTTGAGCGAGTTGGGACAGATCTTCATCGACAGTAACAATGTTTATGACCATGATGTACAAGCTGTGTGACATTAAAAAGAAAAAGAAACCTCGGGTAGTCTCAACTACTCTTCAACTCTATTTTTAATGCTTCTACCTCTAAGAGAGAGAGAGAGAAAGAAAGGAATTAATGGATAACTAATATTTGTCACCTTTACAGAATCAAAATTTTTCAGGTTGACAAAAACTGTTAGGTGTGATTCTCAGCACTTAAATAATTTGGAGTGAGACATGGTTCATTAACAGAATTACCAGTAGATTACAAGCACTAGAGATTTGTGACTGGAATAAAGAGAGGGCAGTGAAATAAATGTTTGCTTATAAAGAATTAAGTTTTTTATATGACTTGAACAAATGGAGATATTATCTTAAGTTATAAGAAGGATGAAGGAGATGGGTATAGTATATCGAAAGAGCAATTTATGTACAATACGTCTATAAAGTACAACTTTTTACGTTATATAACTTAGTTGCTCGAGACTTTATGGGTCACACTGGATATAAGAAATTGATTCAAGTTCATTTCTTCATGCTTATTATATAAATTTATTACCAGGTCTCATTTTCTTAGTTATTTGTATAATCCATCACAGCCCTTCTCTACATGCATACAGTACAGTACTGTATTAGGTTTCAATCTCAGATCTTCATTATACCTGTCTCTTATTGTTTCTCTTGACCCTTTTTTCTGTTCTTTTTGTTTTTGCTGTATAATATACATTTGGAATGATTGTATGAAATGAGTTTTGCAAAATGAAAGTACAGTACAGGTGCCCCTCTACTTAAGAATGTTCAACTTACAAACTTTCAGAGATACAAAGATCATCACTGAGGGGGATTACCTGCCAGAACAGGTGTTTAATGTGGATGAGACTGGATTATTTTGAAGAAAATTCCAGATAGAACAAACATTACCTAAGAGGAGAAGAGTGAGCCAGGTTTTAAAGCTGTATTAAAGGGTATAGCTGTACTAAATATCCACAATCTTTTAATTTTTTACAATATGTTTGGTATCTACAAGAGTAAAGTTGGACTTACAAACAAGCCTCAGGAATGTAACTCGTTCATAAGTAGAGGAGCACCTACTGAAGAAATGAAAAGGTGAAAGATAAAAGGAGGACTGGGAACAAGATAGAGAGCGAGTGTGAAAAGGGTTCTTGTTTCGAATTATACAAAGAAAAATGCTCAAGGAAAGACTGCAAGAGCTACCTGCAAGTTAAATTCTTAATACTGTACTACAGGGTATATCCACTATGGGAATAAAGTAGGTAGTTCGTATTCACAGTAAATTGTGCCTAATCCATAGGTCTAGGTTCTGATTGACAGTGAATTATAGAGAATGTACAGAAAATTTTTAATTAATGGTGCTTATGGAAAATAGGCATTTTTCTGAGTTTCAAATTACTGTATTCATTTATATCCCTAAAATTAATTATAATTTGGGGATATGTTGAGTAAACTTGTAAAATATTCACGCACAAATACAGTATACTGACAAGATTTTTTTTTTACCTACACCTTATTGGGAGGATTAGCTAAGTTGCCAAGTTGTTTACTTTTATGTGACTCGCACAACATTTCACTGCACTTCCCACCCCCAAGAGAAATTTTTTTTTGTTTTTATTTTATTTTTCTTCCTCCAGGAAGATGAAAAATAAAATAAAATGGGAGGTGAAGCATAAGATACAGCACCATGACATCATTCCCCCAGTGAAGTGGTAAAGAGAAAAGACTGTAGACCTTCCTCTCCTCTCTTTTTCCTTCTTAGAAAGAGAGGAGAGGGTGGGAATGTTTTGTTGTACTGTAGATGATTTATTCGTATTTTTGACTGTCGTGCTGTATGTTTGACCGAAAATAGTGTATTATTTAAGGATAACTTACTGAGGTACAGTATTGGATGTCCACAAAAATCAGAGGAAAGTTAAGTGTAATATAGGATACCAACAATATAATAGATATTTTGTCACTTGTGGAATTAACTATTGTATACAGTCCTTTAAGTTTGAATATCTGTTTACAAATTAATGTTATAATTTCCTTGTTATAATATTTTAGTGTATTTGTAGGTGTTTTCTTGTGTATCATATGGCAGGATGTGCAGATTGAGAAATATATAGATAGAGAGATGGATATAAATTAATAGATAGGTAGATAGAGAAAAAGGGGATTCATTTTGCAACCTTTAACGTAGCTACTCCTTGACTTACGACCACCCGGATATACGACCGCCCCAGTCGTACCAAATTTTTTTCAAATTACATATCTTCGAGTCCCGACATTAGTGATTGCTCTGTGTACTGACAAATTTTTTTTTTTTAATTACATTTAAAATGGCTGGCATGCTTAAAAGTGAGAGTTTTGTGGTGCTGAGAAAAAAAAAGACACCCATTTTAGATTTTCTATGTATTATCTTCGCATTTTTGACTTAGACCAATTTGACTTACGACCTGGATTTGGGTCCCTAACCCCGTCGTAAGTCGAGGAGTGGCTGTAATTTGTCATCTTTTTTATTGTAATCGTTTTATTAATGTTAATCCCATCTTTTTTCTTTTTCCCCTATTTCATTATTGCAATTAGTAAATGTTGAAAATAATAGTTATGGTAGATTACTCAGATTCTGATTCATCCTGTAAGGGCATATATGTTGGGCTCTATGTGCTTCTCTTTTTATCAACAGGACACAGTATGTTATATTAATATATCAGGAATTACTACACATGTACATGTTAACATGAATTACCCACTCAAGCACAAAGGATCAGTTATTCCATTCACCTTTTACATTTAACTTGATATCATTTAGGAATGTTACATTAATTCCTTACACACTTTCTATTATGTACAGACTGTCAGATCATCAGTCTTAGTGTTGACTTAGTATTTGAAACTTAATTCTCTTCACACCTTTTGTCCACAATGTAATGTTTCACTATGCGTCTGTTTAACTCTTACCTGCATTTGCATGTGACAGAAGTGTTGGGAGAAGATCCTGCATGGGCCACCCTACTTTAAAGGTGGGAAATCATTTATTAAATATGCATAGAGAACTGTTTAGTCCCCCTTGATGCTCAACCTCTTCCTTCAGTGATGATCCACACACAATGTAATAAGCATCTATGCACCATGTTTACTCCCCTTCCCTCAGTGTCTCTCCAGTAAATTTCATACCTGTACTTGCCAACATACTGTATGAGAATTGTAACCTTGAGACAATACACATGTTTGAAAATCAAATGTGTGTCATTTCACAGGTGTAGCACCAGAAGTATCCCCCATACATTGGGTGTGGCACCACGAGTGTCCCCCTTACACAAAGTGTAGCACCTAGTTATGGTACCATGGGTATCCCCACACCCTAGGTGTGGTACCATGGGTATACCCCACCTGAGGCCCATGCTGGGTTATGGGCAATGTCTTGAGAGTCCACGGAACAAAGTTCTCACAGCTCCTAGATTTCAGATTATTTTATGGTCATATGCTGGCCTTAGCAAAATACACTTATTACAAAACTAACTAATTTCTGTTATTTTACTGTGTGTGTGTGTGTATGGTAGTCCAGTTTATAAGCCTTGTAACTCATGTATGTTTTGTACTTGCATTCATATCTTTGTTACTTAGTTTTTCACAGAATTGGCACAGAATATCCCCTTGAAGTTTGTTACAAAATAAATTAGAATATTTCCTTTCCATTCACATTATACTTGCATTATCTTTCTAGTGTTATTTGTACTCTTTCATATTTTTCTCAGTGCTTGATGCACGTTGCACAAATTTTATTAATGTGATGTGATATCAATAAAAGTGTGCCAGATTTCCTTAAGATCTGATTCTAGAAATTGCATGAATCAATTAATTTTAGTCATCTGGGAATATGGGCATGGGCACAGCTATACTCCTTGGTACTAGCAGTAAACTGTATACAGTATCTACATGGATGGAAGGGATAGCAATTGCTTCCAGTTGTGTTGTATTCAGTTCTATGTATTATGCTGGTTCAAGTATTTGATTCGGTGATTATTGTGATGTTAACAACTTTCTTTTATGCTCAAACCTTAGGGACACACAGTATGGGAAACACCATAGAGGTACTCATTATCATTGTGTCCCCCAAACTTGGCTAATCCTTCTGACCACCATTTAGTTAAGGTAGTAGTGGACAATTGTTGGTCTCGATCCTTGCTAATGGTATTAAGTTTTAACAAGACAGGTTTAACGTTCATGTACCATAATAGTATGTGGTTCAAATTTATACTTGGATGCAGACAATATGGACAAAAGTTAGAAGCATTACTTATTTATTGATATTGTTTTAAATTAGCTTCCATTGTCAAGGTTATGGTTTGAGGGCAAAGATCAATTGTGGCAACAGGTGTACAGTATTATGTATTTGTTTTATAATACTTTTAGCTGCATTTAATCATGTGGTTCATTTTATAACATGTGCTGTTTGTGTTTTCCAAGTAAGGTAGTGTGAGAAGTGTCGCTCCCAAATATCTCAGGTTACCTCATAGTTGCAGTCTTGATAAGTCTGCTTAAGAAAGCACCACACTTAATGTTAAGAAAAAGAAAAGAAAAGAAAGGCATTCATTGGCAAAATATTTGATTGTTGTACACTCGCAACAAAAAGTATCGGTGCATACTGTAGTGTGAACAATTTGAGACCAGTGATGATAGGTATTGGGAAAGGCGAGTTGTTCCAGCCGTATGTTGGCAGCCTTGGTCAAGTGAAACAAACCATTATAAATAAGGTCGGGAAGTGATAAATAGACAGTATGAAATATGAGGAGCTCCCTGTTAACAAAATTATTTGTGATACTTGTGAATATTGCCACATTAATTTATGCTACCAAATAAACCACTCAACCTGGTCATCCTGAGGGGTGATGCAGCGTGGACGGCCGCTCCGAGACCTGTCGTCTGTAGCACCAGTTTCGAGGTATCGCCGAATCCATCGTGCAGCGGTGCTCCTGTGGACACCAACCCGCCGGCTAATATCTGTGACTCCAAACCCTTCATTATGAAGGGCAATAATAGCTCCTCGTGTTCCCTCTGAGGTTTCCATGTCGTCTGGCATGTGTAGATCTCTACTGCTTCATATTGCCTCTGTTTTATACCCACGTTCACCGAGACCGAACCCTCGCTCATCATTCAGTCGACATAAAGCAACAATCTGAAAATAGGAAACAAACACACTGATTGTCAGCCATATGGCAACACCTAGTGGAGGGTGGGGGTGTTATGAGGATACACTTACCAACCTTCCCGACATATCACAGTGTATACGTATAGTTTCAGAAGTCGTCGATCTCACCCTGCACTGATACTTTTTGGTGCGAGTGTACATAGGGGCAAACTAAGTTTAGGGAAACAAAGGAAGTTAAGAAAAATTTAAAGTTAATCACACTGATGGAAAACCTCATCATATATGGGAATACTATACATCCTTAGGTTTAGTTTAAAACCAGACATTTAGGGGAGACTAATACAGCATAACTTAAATATATTTAATGATGGAAAGGATACCAGAGACATTTTTATTATTATTATTTATGGAAAAAGGAGGATTTTTGTGTTACCCTCAGCATAAAATCAGAATAATGATAAACAAAAATGAAATATGTCATGGCATGCTTGGGCTTCAGTATCTGTTGTCTTATTCCATATGCTTAGTTAGCTTGTATGGCTAGTGATATGTCCCATTTATGAGAGACATCTGAAGTATTATCCACAAAATGAATATTATAATGTACTGGTGGAGTTATTGGTACTTTAAAATTTTAAATATATCATTTTACAGATAAAGCTGCTATGCGGTCTGATGCTGCTGCAGAGTTGGACCGGTTGACACGATCAAAGAAACCAACATCTAATTCTACAGAAACAAACAACTCCTCAGAATGTTGACTCTCATCTAGTATCATTATTGGCTGTGCTAAGGAATGATGTTTTGGTGCCCTAGCCTGACTGTATGAGGTGCACTGTAGTGGCCAAAAAGCAGCGCAGCATGAGGCATCCAAGGCATGAGGCAGTTGGATGCCTGTCTGGTTGTTACCTACCAGATTTGTCCTGGACTAGGATGCGAGTCCTCATATTCGGGGTTTAATATGGGTAGCTTTTCATTCCTGTATGATAAAATACTTTTATTCTTGCCTTTCAAAGGTACCATCCTGAAAGTATACAACTAATTAGCAGCTAAAGTGTTGTATAAAAACTTTTCAGAGACTTCTAAAGCAATTTCTGCTTAGTAATAACGTGACCTTTAATGAAGCAGTGTGCCTCGGAGCTTGTCACATCCACAGGAGTTTAGCGTCCGTTTATCAGTAGTGGTCAAATTGTGGTGTGTATGTGAACCTAGCATAGCATCTGTGAGCCAGATCCTTCTGGTACTGCATCACCCAGGCTGTGCAGGGAGGGTTTAGGAACCACTTGCAAGAAATGTGGTGACCCTTGAAGGGGGGTGGGGTAGGGGAAACTGGTGGGGTGTGCGTTGTGTCCTGTATCATATTTTCTTATTTATTTGTTAATTTTATAAACACTTGCTTCCATGCTGTTATTCTTGGGCTATGATGCTTGTGACCCTTATGTGTATATCTCAGAACCTGATCACTCACAGGGTTACCATCTTAATGCTCTGTAAATGCAACACCAGTGAAAAAGATCCATGTATTGTATATTAAATACAAGAAGAATTAGTCACATTAAAATTTGCTACTCAGGAGTATTTATGAGATTATTTCTGACAGTGGCAGCCCAGATGCTTTCATTATGGCAATGCATCTTTTTGCCTCGGTGATTCTTTTCTTTATTCATTACTGTTTTATGATATATGAATATTAATTTTTCATTACTTTTTATTTTTATTACTTGTTATGAGATCAACAAAGGACAAGAGTTCAGTCTCATATAAAAATTCTATGTTTGGGTTCACTATTTAAGAAGTTAGAGGCTTCAGGTGAGAGATTCCTTATCATTATTGTTCACTGAATAGGAATTGAATGTATACAAAGTATACAGTACGTAGATGAAATTGATTTAGGGTTTAAAGTCACTAAATTTCATAATTCAGTAATGTGCATATGATTAACATTATTAATTTGTTTTATTAGGAAATGTGACTGGTGTTTAAGCTGTATTTATCTGTGATCAATACTGATAGGGAGCTTCTCAGATGTTGCATAATTCTGCTCTTGTAGCATTGATTTCTGGCAGGTCATTTATCCGACTTATAAGGCCAAGAAGACCCAAAGGCAAAAAGTATAAGAACTGTTGTTTGGTGGTCATGTAGCATTAGGTAAACTGTATTATACAGCCCAGCTTTGATTGTCAGCATTGAAGAGCAGATCTTGATATATTTATTGGCAGTGTTATTAACTACCTAATGAAACTAATTATTTTTAGCGTCATGGGTGATATCCCAGTGCAACTGTGTAAGACCCAAATAATGTGAAGAAGCTTCTTGAAGCTGGATATGTAGGGATGCTGTTACTTCAGGTTGCTGGTACATCCCAGTTTTAGTCCATCAGTTTAACCTAAATGCCAAAGCTTATTCATGATGAAGTTATGTACTGTATATATATATATGTCCTTGCCTTTAAGTATCATTATCTCCCCATGTAAGTTTCTTCCTAATAACTATCATTCTATTAAGTCTAGCAATTACTTTGAACTTGGGCTGTTGAGGCGAGTAAGTTCATATCAAGATTGAGGGAGTAAGGAATAGCAGCTTTAATGAATGGTGAAAACTTTTGACCTCGAACACATTCACCAGTGAAAACAAATCAGGATAAATGTTAGTGTTATGTTAACTTTTTTAGATTTATAATATTTGTATTATTTGATGTTTTTAAATCAATATAGATAATGGATAATACTTGTTTAAATATTTATATTTTCAGTATTTCAATTCTTTTTTTTTATTATTTATTGTATTATTTTTATTTTTATTTTTTCGGGAAGACTAGAGGCAGAATGCTTACCAGGCATGACTTAATTTGATGCAACAGACTATTAAGTTAGCACAATTCAGAACTGACTAGCAAGTGAAATACACTCATGAAACAGTATCTACACAATAATGTATAAAGGTTTAATATAAATTGGTAAAGTCCACATGCTTATTAGTCCTTCAGAAGTCCAGCTTTATTAACCAGGTGGCGCAGAATCACTATTAACTCGAGTATGTTGGCAACAGTACTTCATGAAACACCATATTTATAAAAATGATCTTCATGCCATACTTGTTGATGGGAATTTATGTTATAACTGGGATATTTGTCGCAGTACAATTGTGATTATTAAACATTGGAGTATGTTCATTATTATTATATAGAAGTTCAAAATTTTTATGTACCGGTATTTTGTGTCTAATTTGTGGAAGTATTATAAATTGAAAACTTATGGAAATAGTCTATTTCATCCCAAGTGAGAAACATTTGGTAAGGATCAATAACCATATTTAACACGTGATTGTAAGAGTAAAGTCGTTTTATTTAGAAATTATAAGTTTTCTTATATATTGAATATGCTTCCTTGTGCTATTTTGTAAAGGCTTATGAAGATCATTCAAAAGGCATGAGGAGTTTCACATTTTAAGTCAGTTTTGTTGCTAAAGTACTGCAGTGTTTTTTTTTCTTGTCAGTTAGCTGGTAAAATTCTTTGTATTATAGGATTATTTTTCATTTGCCATAGTAGAAAATTGTAAAAATATGGAAATATAAAATTTGTGATAACTTCAGACTTGTTTCCTTTTCCTTTGACAGTTACATAAGTTTTAGATCCTACTCTCAAGCCAACAGTGTTAACAATTCCCTTTCTTTAGGTTACAAGGGTTTGGAATCTGAGACATTAAATTTTCTCCCTAGTCTTGGTATTGAGAGGCTGCATCAAACTTTGGTAGATTGTTATTTTGATGTCATTTTGGCTAACATCTTTGCAACATAGCTTTGTGCACTACCACTTTAGAAGCAAAGTAAGATTATATCAACCATCTATTGTGTAATAACACTGGTTCATGTAGCCACCGAGGGCAACAAGGCTCTCAGGATCAGTGACTTGGTTTCTTCACACCTTTAACGTGTATGAGTATCTCGGTATACTGACAATAAACTGCATTAAACTCTGGTGAGGTGCCATATGATTCTGGTGTTATAGCACTTATGTGCATCTCGGTCAGATAAAAATGTATGTACCTTACTTGGTGACTTAAATTGGAGCCTCAAAATTAACAAAATACGAAAGGTCCTTGAGAAACAAAGCATTGGACTTCAATTGCAATGAATCTTCATTGAAAACTGCTGTCTTGTGTACTTCAAGGAATATAAAAAGCTAATATTGACACTACTATGCAAGGCAAATTATGAAAAACACTGCAAGCACTACTGTGAAGATGGCACTTGTGTTTGAAGATAATAAAATGGTCAAATTCTGAAAGTACTGTACTGGTCTAGTATATTAACTGTCATCAGAATGAAAATATAAATATGTTAACAAACTGAAATTTATAACCCAGGCATGTAAATACTGTATGGCACTGGACAAAAGCATAGGTGTTATTGCCACTGGCTTCAGCTACAGTGCTGGCGTGTGATGCCATTAAATCTTTTGACCTGTGACCTCGCCAGATGTAGAAGTGTTTACAGACAAGTCCTGGTTCTGCTGAGTGGACTGTCTTCGACTGGTGGCGGTGCTGCCAGCCCTGCCATGAGACAGATCGCCCTCTAGTAATGCTTTGAAGACCAGCCTTCTGCTCGCACTGGTGAACACCGACTCGCAATCCTGTCCGAGAATTTGTGCGGAGACAATTTACGCAGTACTGTACTGTTGTCTCTTGGAACACCATACTGATCTGCATTAACCCGCACTTGTAAATACAGCCTAAGTGATGACATACCCCTCGGTACTGAAATATTGTTGACTAATTACTCCTACTCGTTTCTGCCTAACCTGGAGTAAAAAGACAATGCAGCATGAAGCGAAGCTAAGATTAATAGAGTTATGAACTTTGTGTTATGTCACTGTTTAATAAATTGTAATTAAGATAAAATTGTGTGAGTAACTAATTATGTATCAGATGAATCACCATGTAATATTATGAACATCATCTCTGCAGGTTTTGACCACATCAATAAATATTGAATGCGTCAAAAGGCGGGTTTCAATCCTTCCCTTCGACTTGCCCGTCACCTGAATGTCTTTAACCAAGGCGTTTACAATAGGTATCCGTCATATGCCAGATGCTGACTTTCATTTGCACTTCTGATAAAGAGTTCTCAATACCTGTACTATACTGTATGTGAAGAACTCTGAACCCTATGTAGGGTGGGGATTTCTCTCAAACTGAATAAAATATGCCCAAGTGAGCCAATGTCCTCTAAAGGGGTTAAGATAAAGTACTGTAAAACCTTCAGATAACAGCACAAAAGGATTTTACTTTATGCAGCACCTGAGTCTGTTGTTAATAAGTACAGAGGGTTTCAGAAGTGTTTCTGTATCATGACTGATGGTGCAAAAGCAATGATGAAAATGGGATTAGTTAGTTTGTTAAAAAAGAAAAGAAATGGAATATATTAGGCAGCCCTGTTCCCACCCAACCCTTATCACTAATCACTCCTATATCTGTTCAACCTACTGTATTGAAATATCCCAACTAGTTCGAGCTAATGATAATTGGTAATTTTCACTCCTCTGCACCTGCAGTATTTCCAAACCAATCTTTACATAATTCCTTCCTATAACTAAATATTATTAAATTTTTATAATTTATTTGTGTTCACAACCGATTTAATAATTTAATTATCTTAGTTATACCACCTTTATTCAACCTCATATTCCATTTATACACATTCTGTACAGTAGTACAGTGACTAAAACTGAACCCAATTATCCAAGTGAGATTTCCCCAACTGCTCCTGTTAACGTTGGCGATATTATGATATTACTGAGTTTCAACAATTATTGGGCTTTTAAGCGCCTAGCAGGGTTAGTAATTACTATACATGAACCCTAATACAGTACTGTGCACTGTACGTACAGTACTTTTTTAGCCATAATTCATATATATATATATAAACCGCACCCAATGCTGTCTAGGTTATAGGTCCCCACTTATTACCCCTTCTTGAATGTTTATAGTTTTAAACAAACCTAAAAAGCTATTTGAAATAAGCAAATGTTTAATGACTGTCATGATTAATATTTTCACGTAATGTCAACTGTCAAACCAATATGAAAGTCTAGCTTTAAGTTACAATTGACAGAAATACAGTATACGACTTATACTTTTAACTAACACAGTTTTATTAATTCTCTAGAGTATATGATTTTCAAAGACATTTTCTTCGTCACCGTGCCTTAAATATTAACTAATATTAAACTAATTAGAACAAATTCGAGTGTTGTATCCATGTCTTTATTTTTAATGTTTATTTTTAATTGATTGTTCCCAAAAGGCGGCAAACTCCTATTTTACTTTGTTTAAGCAGACATTCTTGTTTAAAAACAAAGTTGTCCATTTTTTATTGTATCAAGGTATACTGTATGTAGGCTACTTTTAGATTTGAAGACAGCAAGCTCCTCCACAAGGGGTCACAGCTCAAGATTGAAGAAGTCGCAAGTCCAGAAAACTGTGAGGGCAAACTTTTTCGGAGTGAGAGTTGTAAACTCTGGGAACAATCTACCAGAGAGTGTTGTGACGGCACCGAGTGTGAGCTCTTTCAAGACAAGACTTGACCAACACTGGAGCGGGTTCAGGTACATTCAGGAGCCGGTGCATGCCCAGTACTTGCCAACAGTGTGTGAGAGATGTGATCCATCGCCCGAGCCGATCAGTGGTGAAGATAAAACAAAACAAATGGGAACAATAACAGAACATAGCAGGCGTTGGAATAGTCCATAAGCTAGTACAGTACAGTGATTGTTGCTATACAGTATTCTTAATTTTGCTTTTTGTTGGAGGTTATTTGAAGCTACTAAAAAAGTTGCATGACTCTAATAATTGGCTTTAATAAACGTGAAACTTATTCAACAGTTGAAGAGATACGATGGTTTCATGGCTGAAAACGACTGACAAGCTCCCACAGGTAATGTTTCGTTCGAAATTTTCTTTTGATTGAAATAACATCCATCCTTCTTTGTCCTCCAAGAGTTGCACGTGCCTTGCAGAGATCTCCAGAGGATGTAATTCATGTTTGAAGAATGTTTAATCCGTGTTAATACAGCTAAAAACGGTGTTCAGGTAGAAAGCAGTCAAGTTTATTTACTTTGGAAAGCTGCATTCCAAGTTGTGTTGAAAGTAAGGTAAATTTTCGTCCATTGGCTGCCCTCAGGTTCTGGTATGGGAATAGTTTTTTTTTTTTTGGCGTTTTACTCAAATCTGACCTTCATTTCTTGTGCAAATTAATATTTTTTGCCCCCCTCCCCCCATTTTTTTTATTTAAACAAACCGCTAATTTGCACAAAAATGGGGGTCAGATTTGAGTAAAACACCTGTAGGGGTATCGAGATATTAATGTTGTCTAGCACTCAGGATGGAAGGAAACTCTAATGTGGTTTTCTTATATAATATATATAAGTTATATGATAGACAGTCTGGTGCTGGAGATGCCGTGTGGTGGGGAGCAGCTCAGTAGAAGACGTTCGGGAGTATCGTGTTGAAGGAGGTAGATGTGCAGGAGCTTCGTTAGAGAAGGTGTTGCCTGTTGCTGGCCTCCTGGTTGAATGAAATGTTAACAGCATGGAGCTTGCTGGAGGAGATGTTGCTTGTTCAGGAAAATGGGCAGAATGAATCTCAATGGAGAGACAGAGCTTATATACACCCGGCAGCAGCCGCCAGTCCTCTATGAGTCATGTTGGGAAAACCCGAGAAGTAGCCGGTGACTAGTTTCGTTGCTAAGATACGGTAACATCTGGGGACAGCTCTCGCTTGGTTGCTAGGGGAGGCGGCACATTGGAATGCGGATACGCTTGGTGGTGGGCTGCTACGCAGTTGTAGGGGAGAATTCCACTACAACAGACTGTTCGACACAGAACTGACCCACATTGTGTTTACAGAAGAGGTTATAAGAAATAAACTGTCAAAGCTAAAGGTCCATAAGAGTCCCGGGCCTGACACGGTGCATCCTAGAGTGCGAAGAGAGTTGTGCAACGAGCTTGCCGAGCCCCTGAAGATCCTGTTTTGTAAATGCCTGGCTGAACAAAAGGTCCCCAATGATTGGAAAATGGTTTATGTGAGTCCTATCTTCAAGAAGGGCGAGCGTCACTCCACGAACAACTATAGACTGGTGAGCCTGACCAGCATAGTATGTAAAGTACTTGAGAGCATTATAAGAGATGCCACTATGGAACATCTACTACGAAACACGGTTTTATGCCGGGGTGCTCCTGCTTAACACAATTACTCAAGGTATTGAATATTTGGACCCATATTCTGCAACAGGGTGGTATTATCGACAATATATACCTAGATTTTACCAAGGCTTTCGACAGCGTACCCACGAAAGGCCGAAAATTAAACTGGAAGGGTACGGGATTCGGGGAAATGTCTTAGCGTGGATAGAAGACTTTCTGCATGACCGCAAGCACTGTGTGAAGATTAATGGCACGAAATCACCATGTTTACCCGTACACAAGCGGAGTACCACAGGGCAGTGTATTGTTTGTTTGCTTCATAAAGGACATGCTTGAAGCTGTACAATCTTCCATAAAAATGTTTGCCGATGAGGCCAAGTTATTTCGGGA